CGCCCTGTAACACACGATGGACAAAGAAGTGCCAAGCCAAAGAAAAAAAAGGAACGCGAAACAGCCAACGATGATCCCGAGAACCGCCAACGCGACGGACAGAGCAAGCACAAAATGTGCCACCCTGGGCGCTCCCCAAAAAAGACCCTCAGAGAGGGGGAAGGAGGAGGGGAGGAGAGGGGGAGGAAGAGGAAGAAGAAAGAAGAAAACTCACCCAAATGGAAATGCCGTCGCCGGCCGCGTAAACGCCACCACACCTCGACAATTAAACGGGAAAACAACTTCGATCTACTCTGGGCGGCGGCGCTTGTGCGCCGAGCTCAGCAGAGCCATAGCTGGAGCGTGGCCCCGTGCCCTTTTTCGCAGAAAACCGCGAAACAACTCAGCGGCGGGGCCCGCTGCGGGAGCGAGTCTCCGTGAAATGTGCGTGCGGTAAAGCGCATAGACGCATAGACACTCAAAGCGCGGAGTGAGGAGGCCGGGGCACCGCCCTCAGGAGGCGCATCGATCGGAAGTCGCCTCGCAAACAGGCGGAGGAAGAGGAATGCGTCCAGCGCGAGGTCGCGCGGCGGCTGGTCCAATCGGAGGTGCCGCCGGCATAGCTCATGGTAGTGCGGGCACCGGGCGTAATGCTGGATCGAGTCGTCGCCCCGCTCGCAACCCATCACGCAAGCCCCACATCTCTGAAACCGGCGAGCTGTCATCCACCCGTTGAGGCCGACCCGCAACATCGCCGCCAAGACCCGAGGAGGCATATGAAGCTGGATGTCCTGCAGCTGACGCCGGAAAGCTGCGCAGCGGTGTCCAGGGAGCACCGTGGCCGGCCAGAGCCCGAAACGGTGTCGAAGCAGGCGCTCGGCGGGGTCTGAATGGGCTGGGAGCGTGGCCCTCAAGGCACGGGCTTGCCAATCCTCGCGTTTCCCCTCCTCGGAGGCTGGATCCAGGAGCGCCGAAGCGCGGCCCACCTGGCCAGCGAATGCCGTCAACGCGGAGTCCAGCGAGAAGAGGAAGGTGCTCGTCGCCCACTGTGCCCGGGAACCCAATCGGCGCACGCTCTCAAAGGCACCGAGAAAGGACCTCAACGAAGCAGCGCGGTCTTGCACCCTGAGGCCCCGGCCCCCACGGGCCTCGTGCAACGCTGCCCGCACCTTGGCAACTTTTGCGATCGAGCTTAGGTCGGCGAGGTCCCGGGGGAAGCCGAGGGAACTACGTCGCCCGTGATCCAATCGAACGGCCCGGGAAATAGCTTCCGCGGGGCGCGGCTTTCCGTCTTGTGGAAGTCGACTGGAAGGGGATCCATCTGCAGGATGAACGCGGCCGCCGAGGCGACAAACACCTTGCGCGCCTCTATCGCGCGCAGCACCCCCGCGCCAATCTTGCCCCGGACGGCCGCGCGACCCAGGAGCTTGCGACCGGGGGCGCCCCGAGACTTATCCCCGCGACCGGGGCCGACCACAAAACCCAAGTACTTTGCCGAGTCAGCGATAGACATCGCGCCCCACAGCGGCGACCCCTGATGAAGACGTTCTCGAACCTGCTCATGGGTAGGCTGCCCGAGGGGGGCCAACGCCGCCTTGCCAACGTTCAGGCCCAGGCCCGAGGCGGCCCATGCGCAGCGGGTCAACCAGCGCGGCGTCGCCCGCGCATGCCCCGAGGGTCGCGGCCGGGAAGTCGCGGGAAAGCCGTCGCAGCAGCAGATCCGCGGCGACGGCGAAGAGAAGTGGGGAGAGGGGGCAACCTTGCTTGATCCCGCGGTGGATCGAAAAGCCATCGTAGCGCGCGCCGTCCGTCACGATGTCGCAGAAATTGCCTGCGCACAGGACGCCGATGAACGTCCGCAGCCAGCGCGGCCAATTGAGGGGCCCAAAGACGGCCCGCAAAAACGAGTGCTCGATCGACGGGAAGACGGCGGCGAAGTCGGAAAAGATTGCGCCCCCGCCGTCGGAAGAGCACGCCGTGCGCACCGCGGCCTCCTCGATGTCAACGAGGTTGGACAACGTTGACCTGCCCGATATGAACCCGCGCTGAATTCCCAGGACTCGCGGACCAACTTGAGGCTCGATCAACAAACGCACCGCGTTGGCCAACAAACGATTGTCCGTGTTCGTCACGCTCAGTGGGCGAACGTTGGCCGGCTCGGAATAGCCCTCCCCTGTCGGCCCCGCCCCCGACAGTTTTTTGGGAAGGAAGCGCAATGAACTTGCATTGGGGTCCTCGGCGTGCTGCTCCATGAGCCCCATGGCGTCGTCGCCGCACAGCGCCGCAAAAGCGTCGCGCAATACCTCCACCGAGAGCCGCATGTTGAACCTCCGAGCCTCAAATGGGATGCCATCCGGGCCAGGAGAGGAGTTGTTAGATCGTTGGATTGCTTGGCGAACGCGGCGACGCGACAGGCGGGGCTGGGGGGCGTCGAACGGCAGCGCGCCCCTCAACGGGCGGGCGTCCTCATCTTCATCAATCCAAGAACGCAGGAGGGCCGAATCGATCCACTTGGCTTCGAAGACCTTGCCCCAGTGGGAACGAAGGACGCTGGCCTTCGCGCCAGGATGCGTCACCACCTCGCCGTCGCGCCGCTCCACGGCCGAGACCCCGCCAGCGCGCCCGGGAGCAAGACAGTAAATGAGGCGCGCATTATTCTGCCTGGCCTGCGTTGCTCGGAACTCGCCCTGGCTTGTCAGGTCGGCGTGCGACTTCCCCAACTCGTCGACGGCGTGCTCTCGTGTCAACTGGGCCGCGTGGAGTCGGGCCCCCCTGAGGTGCCTAGACAGCAGGTCCCCCTCGATGATGCAATGGTTATCGACGTGGCCCCGCAAGGCCGGATAGCGTAGCAAGCATGCCGAAATCTCGCGGAGACGACCGGCCTCGACCGCCCGGACGAACTTCCTAGCGCGGCCCAGCCCGTCCTCAGCCGCGGCGGCGGCTGGCGGGGGCAGTCGCTCCGCCTCGACGCGGGCGGCGACTGAACGCGTCGCCCATTTGAAAAGGCGGGGGCGCCCCAGCGCGGAAGCATCGGGAAAGTCTCGCCGAGCTGCCTGACATCCCAGCGCCACCCTCTGGGGGAAGGCAGGATCCGCCGAAGCCGTCGTCGAGAGTGGGCGCGAAGTATCATCGCCATGCTGAGGGGTACGCCGCGCGAAAAAACAGCTCGATGATGGGGGAGGTCGTGGCACCACTCCAGGGCAGAGCAGCGGAAGTGCCTGTCGAGCTGGTCAGCCAAAGGGAAATGAACGTAGATACGGTCGAGGCGGGACCGCGCGGAGGCCGAAGCGTGGGCGGGCGCGTCTTGGAACATCTTCGATCGGTTGAACTTGTCGCCGACGGTCGCGTTGAAGTGCTGCTCGTCGCGGGTGCCCCGGCGCCCCGCGCGCGTCATCGATCCCAGTGCAACTCTATCTTCGATTGCAGTCGCGCAATTGAAGTCGGCACCCAGAACCGTGAGGCCGTCCTCGGGAGAAGCCAGAGCATCGCGCACCTTGCACCGCAACCAATAGCGCAGGTCGAAGTAAGAGTGGATGCGGTGAAACCTCGAAGCGGGGACCCCATCCAGATCCTCTGTCTGAGGGGCTCGGTGGTTGCTGGCGCGGGCGTAAACCACCGCCAAATCCAGGGCGCCGAGGAGCCTCGCAAGCATAATTTGGCAGCTCGGCCCCGCCATATGGGGATCCATCGAGGGGGTTCCGAGAGTAAGCTGAGGAATGTGTTCCTGGCGACCAGCCCCGCCCCGGCTTGACCCGGGGGGCCCCCTTGGGACCGCCGAGCCGTGGTGAACGGTGGAGCCTTCCAAATGGAATTGCTGTTCTCCGTGCCGTGGGCCTCGGTGATCAAGCAGACGTCGGATTTCGGCATCAGCTTCGCGACGTAAGAGCTCCTGGCCGTGTGCCGGTAGACGTCCGTCGCGAACAAAGCCTGGGCGTTCCACGTCGCGACGGAAAAGTCCCCCTTGAACTGGCCGCGCCGTCTATCAGGACCAGCCAGCAAGGCAGGTGGGCGAGACAGCGGCGGTGGCAGGGTGCGATTAGCAGGCGCAGCGCCGAGCGCGCGAAGAATGCGCAGCCGTCGATAGATGCGGATCGGAACGTCGCGGGCGGCGTCGGGGGCCAGCTCGCCGGCAGAGGGGGGGGGGGGGGCAGGACGAGGCGCCAGCGCGCCCGGGCGGCGCTGGCAGCCTTGCGCGCAAGGCGAAGCACGCGGGATCAAATCAGCAGAGCAGAGGACAGAGAGGCGGAGTGAAATAATGTCTCGGCACTTGACACAGGGCCGCCAGGTAGTGGCGGCTGGCGGGCAGTCAGGTCGCGACGGCGAGGAAGGCGAAATGCAATCCCCGTGGGCGCGGAAGACGACCAGCGCGGCAAAGCCCTCGAGGCCCTCCCAGTCAATGTATCGAACTCCGAGGTCAGCGGTCGACGTCAATCCCCAGAGGCGTCCAGCATCGCAAGCACCAGGGGCGCCTAGCCCCCGGCCCGCGGGTCGTTTCCCGCTTCCGCCGCGAAGTCCATCAGGTCATTCACCACCTGCACGCGGACCATATCCTGTCCAACCTGGATCGCCTGCCCGCGGGGCGTCGTGTACAGCGCGGCGATGTCCGATTTCCTTTTGGCCAGCACCTCGATGACGCCCCCCGGGATGGGCAGCGCGTCGCGGGGCACGTGGTAGAACTCCCCTGGTTTGGGATGGTTGGAGTTCGTCGCCCGGGTGAGGGCGACGCCGGTGGCCTCGACGGCGCGGCGCATCAGCCGCGCCATCGCCTCCTGGCCCTGCAACCCCAGCTCGCCATGAACCCGCGCCTCCGCGATGAAGTCGGAGATGGAGTTGGGTTTGCAAGCCCTCCGCTTGGCGGCGGCGGAGCGCGGGGCCGTCGCGGCGGCGGCGGCGATATCCCGTCTCCCGAATCTGGAGGGCAATGTTTGAGGCGGGTCGCAGCGTTGCCCGGATCGCTCTCGTAAATCGCGTTTACGATCGAAGCCCATGTATCCGGGGAAGCGTCCGAAACCACCAAGAACCTCGTCGCGCTGAGCGCGGACATCTGGAAACACAGCGCCCAGTAATGGTGGAAAGCCCCTGGCCCATTGCACTCCAGGATGAAGGTGTCCACGTCAGCTGCCAAATCCTTGAGGCCAAAGAACGTCGTAGATGGAAGATGGGAGCGGCGGAGCTCGCGCAGGGTGGCGAGGAGGTCGAAGTGAATGAGATGGCCGGGGAAGATAACGTCCAAGGCTAAGCGCGGCACCCCCTGGATGCTGAGGTGGCTCTTGCGATGTGCCCGGGGCGTGGCACCGACCATCAGCGGGTGCGAGAGGAGCGCAATGAGCCCCTGGAGGTCGTCGACCAGCATGTCGAAGGTCACGGCGCGGGCCGCGTCGGCCTGGAAGGGCGGGGTCATGTTGACCACGCGGGGGAGGCACCTGCCGTTGTTCAGCCGCAGCGAGAACGTACTCAGTCCGTGGTGCTGCACCCGAAGGGGCCCCCGACATCGTGGGCATGATCACCTCGAAAGGGAAGGGGATGAAATCTGCGTCCTTGACGAGGGGAACCCACCGTTCGGACAGCAATGGGAATGAGCAGATGTCGGTGATGTTGGTGATGTTGTTGAGGCCCGTCGTCAGCGGGATCGTGGAGATCATGATCACTGTGACGGGGCGAGGCTGATCAGCCACGCGCCGCAGGAGGGAAGAGCGGAGGCGGGTTTGCGCGTTCTTGTCCTCGGGGGTCCACAACACGGGGACCCTGTCCGCCAGGCGGCCCCATAGCTCCTCGTTCCCCTTTTCGGCCAAGGACGCGAGAACCCGGCAGAGGCGGGGTGCATGCAGGGCGGGGTCACGCGTTTTGAGCACGTCCGATCATTGCGTGAAGAATTCCACGTTGGGGATGTTGATGTTCTGCTTGCAAGGTGACAGCCTCCAGCCCGAGCTCCCGATAGAGACACAGGCGGTCAGGCTTAATCTTCCACCGCTCCTTGAAGATCATGGGGAGTGCCTCCTCGCACCTGGGCGCCGCAGCGATGAACGCGTCCAGGAGGGTTCGAGCCTTCGCGGCGTCGTCCTGAAGCCAGCCCTGCGCGGAGGACAGGGAGATCACCTCGTAGGCGGCCCTCCCCCTGGAAACGATGTCGATGTTCGTCGGGTCGGGGCCCTCCAACCTCGCAATCCTAGGAGCTCCTAGTGGTCGGAAACCGACACGTTGTAGCCCAGCCGAGTCAAGATGGACACGAGTTCGGAGTAGTCCTGGGGGAGCTTGACGGGGATCGACTGCGGGCCGTGCGCGTCCGACGCGGGTAGGGAGGAGTGCACCAGCTCGAAATGGTGCAAGACCTCGTTGTCCACCCAGTTCTGCAAGAGGATCTCGCGCGGCGAGCGGCCCTCGAGTCCCGGCGGTCCCACTGCGTCCGCTGGCGCCGCCGCCGGCACTGGGGCCGGCGGCGCCGCCGCTGCAGCGGAGCCCGCAGCATGCGCGGCCGCCGCACTCCTCACGATGGTCTCCTCGTCCACCTCGATGGCATCGATCTCGGCCAACGCCTGCGTCACCCCAGGGTTCTCGGTGCCGTTCATCTGGAGGTCCGCCACATCCTGCGTGGCGCCAGTGCTCTGGTCGACATGCATGTTCACCGCCGCGGCGGCCGGAGCTGTCGTAGCTGAGGACGCCGCCGTCGCTCCATGCGCGGCGCAGAAGTCGGAGCCCAGGACCGCCTCGCCTTGCACCCCGTCGATGAGGCACATACGGCACGGCGGAGCGAAAGCAGAGGAGGCAATGTGAGGTTAGTGGCGGGGGAGCGGGGCGCAAGCAGGCGACACCCCACCCTTGGCAGGGCTGCTGGTCGGGGTTGCAAGAAACTGCTTTGAGCCCTTGAGGCGCCCAGGTAAATCCGCCGATCCGGCGTGAGTTTCTGAGAGCGTGGGCTTGAGCTCGCTCAAGCTTCGCTCTGGGGGGGGGTTCGGGATCCGGCGAATTATCCACGCAATTCAGTGAACGCTCCAGCGCGGGGGGGGTCCAAGAATCGAGGGGGGGGAACCTCGAGCGAGGGGGGGGGGTCGAGCTCAAGCGATGGGGAGGGGTCCAAGGAGGAAGCGGGTCCAAGAATCGAGGGGGGGGGGGAGCTCGAGCGAGGGGGGGGGGGGTCGAGCTCAAGCGGGGGGGGGGGTCCAGGGAGGAAGCTCGAGCGGGACAGAGGGGGGGTCGAGCTCAAGCGGAGGGGGGGGTCAGCGCGGGGGGGGGGTCCAAGAATCGAGGGGGGGGGGAGCTCAAGCTAGGACGGGGGGGGCGTCGAACGGAGGGGGGGGTGTCAAGCGGGGGGGGCAGCGCGTCAGCGCGGAGGGGGGGGGGGGGGTTCAAGAATCGAGGGGGGTGGGGAGCTCAAGCGAGAACGGGGGGGGGTTCGAACGGAGGGGGGGGGTCGAGCTCAAGCGAGGGCGGGGGGGGCAGCGCGGGGGGGGGGGGTCCAGAATCGGGGGGGGAGCTCGAGCGAGGAAGGGGGGGGTCGAGCTCAAGCGGGGGGGGTGTCCACGGAGGAAGCTCGAGCGGGGACCAAGGGGGGGGTCGAGCTCAAGCGGAGAGGGGGGGGTCCAAGAAACCGGGGAAGGCAGCGGGGGGAGGAGGGACGTCGTCGTCATCATCGTCCGTCGTTGACCCGGTCATCGGTCGTCGTCGTCATCGTCCGTTCCCACACGCATCGGGAGCGCCCCGGATCGGCGGCACTGGCCGGAGGCCATTACAATATAGATGGAGCGGACCACCCTGCAAAAACATCGACCGTCGATCCAGGAGGAGGAGGAGGCGGAGGAGGAGGAGGAGGTCAACCGCCGAGTTGTCCTTTCTCATTCCCCTTCCCCACCCGCATGACGCTCCCCCCAGAGCTGTTCTCCTCCCTCGCTCTTGGCCTCGACCCTCGGCCAGGGCCACAGGTGGCTCGAGAACCTGGATCCTCAGACGAGCCTGTCCGCATCGTCAAGGCTTCAAGGAGGATGTGGAGGAGGAGGAAGAGGAGCCTTCTCCGGCGGAGGAGGAGGAGGAGGAGGAGGAGGAGGAGGAGGAGGAGGAGGAGGAGGAGGAGGAGGAGCCTTCTCCAGCGGAGCAAAAGCAACCCGAGGGCTGGGGTCCGCAGGCTTTGGCGCTTGACACCGGAAGCACGCCGACCGCTTCACGAAGTTCCGCTCCCTGCACCTGCGGAGGCCAGAAGGCAGCAGGTGCTAGGGCAGAGCCAAAATGCCAAAAAAACCCTATAAACCGAACTTGGGTTGTGCCATATAAATAAACAGTTTTCCCTAAACAATGCTTGCACCCATGGGCTTTTCCTCCTGTTGCCACATGGAGTGGACGGGTCCGTCAGGAGTTTCGCCTGGTGCCTGGCTGGTGGCCAGTCGTGGGCACCCCGTGCTTTGATGGGTCCGCCAGGGTTTCGCCTGGTGCCCGGCTTGCGGCCAGTCGTGGGTGCCTCGTGGGCGTCGCGTTGGCGGCCGCATGGCTTGCACCACGGTCACCACTTACCTTGCAGCGCATAGCTTGCACTACGTAGTTTGCACCACATGGCTTTCGTTAAACACATTTGCTTTTATGACATAGCTTACAGCACATCAAGTATACCACATAGCTGGCTTCGCAGAGCTTAAATCGGCGCTGCGAAAGTTTTGACCCGTTGTGTTTTCAGCTAAACAACGCCTGAGCATCACATTGGTGATGAACACCACGACGGCCGTGAGCATCACTCCAAAGCCTGAGAGCACCACAGAACCTATGAGCAGCCGAAGGCGGGTTCTCACCTTGACGCTAGCACCCCCGTGGCGGGAGCGACATTTCGAGTTCGAACGGAACAAATGCCGAACCTCATTTTGCAGGAAGTCCTGTGCGGGGGCGCCATTTCGAAATCGAGGCAGAAAGGTTTCGATTTCTATGTTTGAGGAAGTCCTGTGCGGGAGCGCCATTTCGAAATCGAAGCAGAAAGGTTTCGAATTCTATTTTTGCGAAAGTCCTAGGCGGGAGCGCCATTTCGAAATCGAACCCGAAAGTTTCGAAATCGTTCGAACTCGTTTTTTCTAGGAAGTATCAAGCGAAACCGCCATTTCGAAATGGCCACACCGTTTGGCATTTAAAATTTTTAAAGCCCTAACCCGGAAACTCGAAAATGCAGCTTTCGCATAGGACTTCCCCCCCAAAGCGAGCTCGACTGGATTTCGAAACCTCGGGCTCGATTTCGAAATGTGGCTTTCGCCTAGGACTTCCCCCCCAAAACGAGCTCGACTGGATTTTGAAACCCGCGGGCTCGATTTCGAAAGGGCGGTGCCGCCCGAGAACGGATCGAAAAATGCTCCAACCGAACATTGTACTGGGGCCCCGCGGCCTAACGGGCCCACTGCCAACGTTGTACTGGGGCCCAGTCGCCTAACGGGAGGCGTTGAATTTTGGCCGACCTTTGGTAGCGGCGAAGTGGAACTTCAAACTTCAAAACTTCATGTCAGTCGTGTGAAATGCCCATGGGACTTCAAAATTCAAAACTTCATGTCAGTCTTGTAAGATGCCCATGTAACTTCAAACTTCAAACCTACATGTCAGTCGTGTACGATGTCACTTCAGACTTCCAAAAATCATGACAGTCGTGTAAAATGCCCATGGAACTTTAAACTGCAAAACTTCATGTCAGTCGTGTAAGATGCCCAGTGGAACTTCAAACTTCAAAACTTCATGTCAGCCGTGTGAGATGCCCATGGAACTTCAAACTTCAAAACTTGGAACTTCAAACTTTAAAACTTCATGTCGGTCGTGTAAGATGCCACTTCAAACTTCAAACTATCATGTCAGCCGTGTAAGATGCCCATGGAACTTCGAATTTCAACACTTCATGTCAGTCGTGTAAGATGCCCAGTGGAACTTCAAACTTCAAAACTTCATGTCAGTCATCTAAGATGCCCATCGGCGCTACGAAGGTTTTGACCCGTTTTGTGTTTTCAGCTAAACAACGCCTGAGCATCACATTGGTGATGAACACCGCGACGGCCGTGAGCATCACTCCAAAGCCTGAGAGCACCGCGGAGCCTATGAGCAACCGAAGGCCGGTTATCACCTTGACGCTAGCACCCCCGTGGCGGGAGCGACATTTCGAGTTCGAACGGAACAAATGCCGAACCTCATTTTGCAGGAAGTCCTGTGCGGGGGCGCCATTTCGAAATCGAAGCAGAAAGGTTTCGATTTCTATGTTTGAGGAAGTCCTGTGCGGGAGCGCCAATTCGAAATCGAAGCAGAAAGGTTTCGAACTCTATTTTTGAGGAAGTCCTAGGCGGGAGCGGTTTCGAAATCGTTCGAACTCGATTTTTTCTAGGAAGTATCAAGCGAAACCGCCATTTCGAAATGGTCACACCGTTTGGCATTTAAAATTTTTAAAGCCCTGACCCGAAAACTCGAAAACGCAGCTGTCGCATCGGACTTCCCCCCCAAAACGAGCTCGGCTGGATTTCGAAACCTCGGGCTCGATTTCGACATGTGGATTTCGCCTAGGACTTCCCCCCCAAAACGAGCTCGACTGGATTTTGAAACCCGCGGGCTCGATTTCAAAACGGCGGTGCCGCCCGAGACTGGATCGAAAAATGCTTCAACCAAGCATTGTACTGGAGCCCCGCGGCCTAACGGGCCCACTGCCAACGTTGTACTGGGGCCCCGTCGCCTAACGGGAGGCGTTGAATTTTGGCCGACCTTTGGTAGCGGCGAAGTGGAACTTCAAACTTCAAAACTGCACGTCAGTCGTGTGAGATGCCCATGGAACTTCAAAATTCAAAACTTCATGTCAGTCGTGTAAGATGCCCATGTAACTTCAAACTTCAAACCTGCATGTCATTCGTGTACGATGTCACTTCAGACTTCCAACAATCATGTCAGTCGTGTAAGATGCCCATGGAACTTTAAACTGCAAAACTTCATGTCAGTCGTGTAAGATGCCCAGTGGAACTTCAAACTTCAAAACTTCATGTCAGCCGTGTGAGATGCCCATGGAACTTCAAACTTCAAAACTTCATGTCAGTAATGTAAGATGCCCATTGGACTTCAAACTTTTAAACTTCATGTCAGTCGCGTAAGATGCCACTTCGAACTTCAAACTATCATGTCAGTCGTGTAAAATGCCCATGGAACTTCGAATTTCAACACTTCATGTCAGTCGTGTACGATGCCCAGTGGAACTTCAAACTTCAAAACTTCATGTCAGTCATGTAAGATGCCCATCGGCGCTACGAAAGTTTTGACCCGTTTTGTGTTTTCAGCTAAACAACGCCTGAGCATCACATTGGTGATGAACACCACGACGGCCGTGAGCATCACTCCAAAGCCTGAGAGCACCACAGAACCTATGAGAAGCCGAGCGCCGGCTATCACCTTGACGCTAGCACCCCCGTGGCGGGAGCGACATTTCGAGTTCGAACGGAACAAATGCCGAACCTCATTTTGCAAGAAGTCCTGTGCGGGGGCGCCATTTCGAAATCGAGGCAGAAAGGTTTCGATTTCTATGTTTGAGGAAGTCCTGTGCGGGAGCGCCATTTCGAAATCGAAGCAGAAAGGTTTCGAATTCTATGTTTGCCGAAGTCCTAGGCGGGAGCGCCATTTCGAAATCGAACCCGAAAGTTTCGAAATCGTTCGAACTCGTTTTTTTCTACGAAGTATCAAGCGAAACCGCCATTTCGAAATGGCCACACCGTTTGGCATTCAAAATTTTAAAAGCCCTGACCCGAAAACTCGAAAATGCAGCTTTCGCATAGGACTTCCCCCCCAAAACGAGCTCGACTGGATTTCGAAACCTCGGGCTCGATTTCGAAATGTGGTTTTCGCCTAGGACTTCCCCCCCAAAACGAGCTCGACTGGATTTTGAAACCCGCGGGCTCGATTTCGAAAGGGCGGTGCCGCCCGAGACTGGATCGAAAAATGCTTCAACCGAGCATTGTACTGGGGCCCCGCGGCCTAACGGGCCCACTGCCAACGTTGTACTGGGGCCCCGTCGCCTAACGGGAGGCGTTGAATTTTGGCCGAACTTTCGTAGCGGCGAAGTATTCGAGGCAAATTGCACCACACAGCTTGCACCGAATAGCCTGCACCATATAGCAACACTCACCCTACACTTGCACAGCCCAAGAAACTCACTGCTTGGGGTCCACGCTGTCAAACGTGTTATGTCCGCCGATCTGGCGTGTGAGTCCCACCAGCCCTCTGGGCGTAGGTGGTCTAGGGCCTTTCCTCGTCCCGCTCCCTTCTTCCCCTTCGGGGAGGGGTTCACCCCTCCCCCTTTACCCCTCCTCTGGAACTGGACGGAGCGCCCCGCGAGGCGTTGGAGCGTCCAGGATGGCGCGACAATGAGGCGCTACAACTATAAACTACCCCACGAGCGTTCCCCGAACCAAGTCTAGGAGGCTTCGGGGAACAAGTGCCACTGACATCTTCAACATCAGATGAGCGAGCTGTGGTGGAGTAGCAATGTGTTCTCAAAGACGACTCCAAAACAAAAACGCGTCGACGCAAACCTCCGACGACCCCAAGACGGCCCTAGAGAGTTCCACCAGGCCCAGCACTGCCCGCCCTTTATGGTCCAGGGAAAACCCCAAGGAGGGCGAGAGAAACCCGATCGGTTTCCTCACTGAATTCATTCTTGCTCACGTGTTCCCCGAAAGCTTTCGAAACCGACTCGGGGAACACACTATCCGATAGCTGGGTTCACGTGTTCCCCGACAAATTTCAACGATGGCTCGGAGAACACCTGCTCCGATACCTCGCCCGATTGATGTGACGAAACGTATGACCACAGAGGCGCTCATGAAGCAGCGCTGAACAAAATAATGTCTTCACCAAATTCCTGACACGGCATCCTTTTTTAACATCAGTAGTCCTACGATCATTTTATTATGATTTGTGACCTCCACCAAAAACATTCATGTTCTGATCGTCCCTGGTGTTCGGCGACCCCACAGACTGTCCAAAGAGGCCACCCCCAAGAACGGTGAGTGAGACCAGATCGAAATCCTCACCGCCGGTTTCTCGTCAGGTGTTCCCCGAAGGATTTCCAAACAAACTCGGGGAACACATGTTCCGATAGCTAGGCCAAGCCCTTGCCGCAACTTTCGGACACATAGGCGCTTCAAGAAAGGCAGGGGGCGGCGGTGATTCGCCGTAGGCTTCTTCGGTAAGAACATATAGAAATGACAGGAAGGAACAGCCACCCACAACACCACACAAACGAGCCAACCACCCACAAACGACCCGCCCAACCACCCACAAACGAGCCCACCCGTCCAGGAACTAGCCCGCCAACAATACCGACAGACGGACACGAGGCAAACACGCCAATCAACACATACTGCCTAAGGCGACTGCCAACACCCTCTTGCCCCTCCTCCTCCTCCTTCTCCTCCTCCTCCTCATCCTCCTCCTCCCCCTCCTCCTCCTCCTCCTCCTCCTCCTCCTCCTCCTCCTCCTCCACCCCCTCCTCTTCCTCCTCCTCTTCCTCCTCCTCGTCCTCCTCCTCTTCCCCCTCTTCCTCATTCTCCCTCATCCTCCCTCCTGCCTCCTCGCGGTAAAGCTCACAAGCCATTCAATTGAATAGGACGAATTCGCACGGAGCGTTCCGGAGCGTCTAAGATCGGCGGCACATGCGCAAGGCCTTTACAGTATGACTACGTATGTGTATGAGCCATGGATCGAGCAACTTGGTTCGTCTTGAGACCGTCTTAGGCTTTGGTGGCCTGACTGTGCCGTCTTTTCTGCCATCTTGGGCATCTCGGACGCAGTGGGGAGCGCGAGGAAGGCGTCGGGGCGCCCTGGAACTCTCAGGAGGGGGGGTATGGCGCACGCAGCACTGCGCCAGGAGTGCGTGCGCTTGGAGAGGGGAGGGGGGGGCAACTAGGCTGTGCTATAGTTCGTCACGAGTTTCATGCTGTTCACGGCGTCTGTGCGGTGACCTCTGCCGCACTCTCCTAGACGCTGCCTGTCTGTCTGTCTGTCTGTTTCGTTGTCCTTCTGGGCGGGGCTCAGTGTTCGGCCGCCCCAGCTGAACACGAGCAGACTTTACAAAAAGATCTTCCAGAAATTCACAAGCACGTCTTGGCTCGGACTGGGAGGGCGTGTGTGAGTGAAAGGGTCCAGCGCCGACGCAGGGTCTCCGCGCAGCCCTCCGAACAAACATGTGTATGCCTGTGGAGTGTTCCACCAGAGATTGTTCCCCAAATCGTGCTTGCACATAAGGGTTATGACTTGTTATCGAAGGAACTGGGCCTGTCTGGTGGTCTGGCAGCCATGTAGCCGCCGTCGCCGCCCCGTCGCCGCTCATCGTCTGGGCCTGTCTAAAGCCCTGGCCGCCATGTCGCCGCCGTCGCCGCCCCGTCGCCGCCTCGTCGCCGCCCGTCGTCGGGGCCTTCCTGGTAATCTGGCCGCCATATCGCCGCCGTCGCTGCCCCGTCGCCGCCTCGTGCTTTGCATTGCATTGCTTTGCATTGTTTGTGCAGCACATGGACTGCATGGCCTCGAGTGCACCACGTTGACTGCACCACCTAGATTGCGCCGCAAAGATTGCAAGAAATCACTGTTTCGGGTCCACGCTCGCTAACATTCTGTCCTGGTCTCCCATGTCCTCCCAAGCGCGGACGTGCCCGACCGCGTATCCCTGCTCGCCTTCGACCCGGGCATTTCCCGTCACGCTTCCAAGTCCACGCCCCGCCTGCTGCCCAGACTGCTCTCTGGCACGGTGTGTCACCATCCTGACCACATTTTCCCACATAGCGGCTCATCTATGCACGAGTGGCATCTTTCGATTGGGAGGAGCGCGCAAGTGGTCTGCCAAGGCCACGCTGGATGCTCGAACAGAACGGACACAGGTGCGCTATTTTAGGGGCACGCGTCAACCTGGAGACATAAGAGGCATCCACCGACGTCGGAGTCTCCGATTCCCGCCTTTTTGCGCCGCGACAACCATGTCAGTGATAGCTACTCACGACGATTGCATTTGTCTGATGACCTTGACCATGCTGTAACTGGAAGAAAACGAATGCCTCGGACAGTCAGTTGCGAATATCTCTGCAACGCTTCCTGAATATGCGACGATGCCTCGGACTCTGGCGACTGGTAGAAACAACACATTTTAGCCGAACGAACGCATGCCTTGTAATAAGAAGGCAGATCTTCATGCTCCCTGATCTGGTGGTCGATAGGCTCGGGGGACACCATGGCACGAGTGGCCACCCAGCGTTTGCCGCGGACACAGGAACCTCAAGTCACATGTCGATCCATGCTCGGGGGGGGGGGGGGCATTGACCCACGTGCGCCAGTACTGGCGCGGAGACTCAATCTGGTCCTTCCTACGTTGTCCGCTGTGCCCCGGCACCCTCCGCAATGGCCAGAACATCTCCTCGCATGCCCTCACTGCGGCACATTATCCTCCTCCCCTCCTCCTCCCCTCCTCCTTTCCTACCGCATCCCCTTCCTAATTACCGCATCCTCTTTGTCCTCCTCCCACTCCTCTTCCCACTCTGTCATTTTCCGCCCACCTCCTACTCGCCCTCCTTCTCCCCCACCTTCCTCCTCCTTCTCGTCCCTCCTCTCTCCCTCCTCCTTCTTCTCATACCGCACCCACATTTTCATCTCCCCATCAATCTCCTCCGTCCTCCTCCGATTTCCTCCGTCTCCCCTCGACCTCCCTCTCCCCCTCCTTCTGCCCTCTCCCTCCTCCTCCTCCGTCCACCTCTCCCTCCGTTTCGCGCTCCTCCTCCTCCTCCTCCTCCTCCTCCTCCTCCATCTCCGACTCCTTCTCCTCCGACTCCTCCTCCTCGTCCTCCCCCTCCTCCTTGCCGCGCCGAAGGGGGCACTTGGGGCAGTGCCAGTCCCGGCTGCGGTCCTGGGGGCGAGCAGGGAGAGAGAGTACACCCGCCCCGCCGGGCACTGGGAGGGGCGAGGCCCCGAGCTTCGAAAACCAGGCGCGCGGAGAGGGGGCTTGGGCCGGGAACTTCTGCTCCGCGCGTAGCGGCGGCAGCCTTGGCGACACATCGTGCCCTGCGAACTGATGGCGTGTCGCTCCGCGTCGCGGAGAGGGAGGCCAGGAAAAGCCTGGAAAGCTGATGCTCGGGAGCTGGGGCGCCGTGTGCGCGTCGCGCCGACGCAGCGGCGCGACACGCCGAGCAGATGCTCCTGACCGCGAGGCCACGGGCACGCAGCCCTCGCCTGTGGAGCTCCGCGCGGGGCAACAGTGGCACGCCGCCGAGGACAACCCGGTCCAGGCCAGAAGCCTCTCGCGACCCGTGCTGCTGGCTGCTCGTCGCCAGCTCCCGGCAGCCCCTGGCTTCGATGGCAGGGGGGAAACAACGGGCAGAAAGGAGTGTGTGGGAAAAGGGCTCTCGAGGGATCGCCGATGTCAGGAGCTTTTTTTGGATGCAAAGCCAATCGCCTTCAACTGATAGACATGTTTGCTCGTCGCTGGGATTTTCAAGCACTTCGTAAGTAACTGAAAGCAAGTGCTGCGCCTGAGAAATACTGTTCAACAGTGACTTCAATAAGCTCCATGCGGCGGGCTCCGATGTGGTCACGGCAGCGGAGGCGGAAGAGGGGATGGTGTTTTGTCAGCGCTTGGGGCCCTTATTAAACCTCAGGAGGCCCCCACAGGAACCGCATGGTGCCCGGCGAGAGGGGGGCAGGGGAGAGGGAGGTGGAGGCGGGGAGGAGGAGACGAGTGTGATAGAATGGCTCGTTTTCGCGAGGACTGTGGAGAAGAGGCAGCGAGAGAGGGAGAGGTAACAAGATGTCAAGGAAGGAAGGAAGCAGCAAGAAGGGGAGGGGCAGTAGGAAGGACGGACGCTCGGGGAGACGGGGGCTCGGAGAGGAACACCATTGGAACAGACAGGTGGAAGGGACAGCTCGGAAGAGAGACGTGGTGGTGTATGTATATATGTATATATGTATAAAAATAAATACGTACATACATACATACATACATACATACCTACATACACACGTACATACATACATACATACATACATACATGCATGCATGCATGCATACATACATACATACAAACATATATAGAGAGAAAGAGCGATAGAGAGAGAGAGGGAAATAAACATAGAGAAAGAAAGCGAGAGACACGCGCAGGAGGGGGGAAATAGAAGGAGACAAAAGACATTGCGCGTGTAGAGAGAAAAGGGATATATATATATATATGTGTATACATATATACACTTCTGAGACCAGAGACAATCCAAGCATCATTGTCTTAGGGTTATAGGGCTATAGGGCTTTAGGGCTATATGGCCATAGGGCTATAGGGATATATAGAGCTGTAAGGCTATAGGGCTGTAGGGCAATGGGGCAAGAGGGCGATAGTGCTATATAGGTTATTGGGCTATTAGGCTATAGGGCAAGAGAGCTGTAAGGTTATAGGGCTATAGGGCTATAGGGCTGTAGGGCTATGGGGCTATATGGGCTGTTGGGCTAGTGGGCTAAATGGCTATAAAGCGACAGAACACCCGGGAACCTGGGCACCCCCGGGCACCCGGGCACCCCCGGGCACCCAGGCACCCCCGGGCACCCATGCACCCGGGCCCGGCCACCGAAATCGGCGACGTGGGTCACCTGCACATATGAATCCGCTAGGACCCCTATTGAGGCAAGCTCTGATGGGGGAAAATGTAAATGTAAAAGGGAGGGCACACAACAATATCACACAAAAAAGATCAACTGATAAATACCTAGAGAGAGAGAGAAGAAAAAAAGAAAGGCTGGAGCACTGGGATGATGAACAAAGGCACATTGCTACATAGTATTTTCTTATTGTTCTTCTTCTTCTTCTTATCCTCGTCCTCCTCCTCCTCCTCCTCTTCCTCGCCCTCCTCTTCCTAATCCTTCTCACTCTCCTCGCCCTCCTCCCGAAATCCGTCCGACACCGTGCCCCCCCTGGCACGCCGAGGCGCGACAGCCGAGTGCTGGCCGGTCGAGCTCCTGCCAGTCTTCGAAAGCTCTGCCCCCCCCCCTCTCGCCGCGCAGTGCTGCTTGCGCCGTCCCCCTCCTCCCTCCCGAGAACCCCAGGGCGCCCTCCTCCTCCTCCTCCTCCTCCTCCTCCTCCTCCTCCTTCCGCCTGCTGGTCGCGGGTGTGGCGCTCCCACCAGCCCTCGGGGGACGGCCCTGAGCATCAGTCCTGGGGGTCAAGCGCTAAACCGAATCCACTTTGGGGCGTTGCACACTGTCGAATTTAAGCTAAGCCCTCATGCAAGGGATGCTCTGCTCCCCGCGGGCGGATTATGCACCTGGCAGGAGGGGGGGAGGAAAAGGAGGAGAAAGGGGCGGCCTCGCGGAAAAGAAGGCGAACCTGTGGAGATCGCCTCGTGGAGACGCAACTGCTGGCCGAGGGCGGCCGGCACAAGGGAAAAGGGGAGGGGGCAAGGGAGGAGAGGGAGACGGGGGTCGGTCGGCGTCGTTCCCAGGGGGTTGTCGATCGTGGGGGTCGGTCATCGTCGTCGGCGGTGGTTGTCCGCTGCTGCGGCTGGTGTCTGTAGGGCTGCGCGCTGCGTCACTCCGTGCCCCCGCGCCCGCGCCCCTGCTGGCTCGGAGCGGGGCTGCCCCTGCCTTGCCTTGCGGCTGGACCTCGTACTCACCGGCCGATGGCGGCCAGCAGCGCCTCGGCATTGCCCACTTGGAGCAAGCCACTCAATTGCCTCAATTGCTGCCAAGCCTCCTCCTTCCTCCTGCTCCCTCCTCCTCCTCCTCTCCAGCCAGAGCGTCCGAGATGTCCAAGATGGCAAAGAAGACGGCCCAATCGGGCCACGAAAGCCGCCGCCCTCAAGACGGCCCAGGAGGCACACAAGGCTGCTCAGGAGGGCCACAAGTGGAACCGCAGTGGGGCCCGAAGAAACCAACATCAATGACTATGGCTTGCTTCGGCGGCCCCCCTGATGGCCCCAAGACAGCCCGAGAGGCCCACAAAATAGTCAAAGAAACCTCCAAGACGGGCCTGACGGAGCCCCGAAAGAGTCCCAAGACGGCCCGGAGCGGCCCCGAAGATGGACTCCGAAACCGCCAGACGGCCTTCAACGCCGGACGACGGCCTAATAAGCCGCTTAGAATCAATCCGAGACGCCCCCAAGACAACTCGAAGAGGTCCCCGAGAGTCCCACCAAAAGGTCCCCAAGACGCCCCCAACAAGCCGCCAAGGTACCCATTCGCGGAGGATTGGGGGGAAGAAGAGGAAGGCAAGAGAGCGACGACGAAGACGAGGAGAGAGACCCTGGCATGGCCCAGAAAAGCGCACTGCATGTTGCGAAATTCCGAGCGGTGCTCGAAGGGTCGCCAGGCAGAGGGTTGCGCGCGGCACGGTCGCGGAGCTTGCCCGCAGGCAGGAGGACACCGAACGGGAAGCGGAGGGTGGTCCCGGAGCACGCAGCAGCAGTTGTCCGACGCGGAGGCTCCCACGTGTGCATCTCGTTTCCCAGCACGTCCCCCCGTGGTTGTGCGAGGCCGTGAGCGCCCGCGTGCGAGAACGAGTCCGAATGGACGACGAGTTCGGCGACGACGACGACGGCGACTGCGGCGGCGGCGGCTACAAAGAGGGGCGGCGACGACGGCAACTCACAGACAGACTGGCGGTGAGCAGGCTCCCTCACCTCCTCTTACTACTCGTCGTACCCCGTCCCTTCTCTTCCTCCCTCATCCCTTCTCCTTCTCCCTGTTTCCGCCTTCCTCCGCCTTCGTCCTCATTCCTCTGTCCTGGTGTCCGTCTATCTCCCTACACCGACATGATCATGGGGACCTGAATGTACAGGAGTCGGAAGTGCAAAACCGAGCGCCTCGCCCGATGCATCCCCACGATCTGGCGGCCTGGGGTGGTGAAGCCAGCGCCTCACTCGAGGTATCCTCACAATCTGGCTGGAAAGCATCGACGTCAAAGCCACCCTACAGGCAAACCGCCTGAGACATCCCCACAACCTGGGCGCGAATGGGCAATTATCCCCTTCCCTGGCAGCTCCGGGGTGCTCAAAAGCAACGCCTGCTACATCGCGATGAGACTCTGAAACGAAATACACTCAAGCCACCAAACGGACACACAGCCTGAGACATCCCTACAACCTGGGCGCGAACGGCCCAATGTTCCCACCACTGGCAGCTCCTCGCTGGGATGCTCAAGTGTCAGGTCTGCTACATTGCGATGAGTATGGAGCCCTGGCAAAGCGAGAAGTCCAACTAACCAAACAGGCACACATCCCCGCATCCTTGGCGCGAGTGGGCATCTGTCCCCACGCCTGGCCATTCCCTTGTAGCGTGCTCAAACGCCACGCCCGCCACGTCGCGATCAGCATGGGGTTCTGAACAAAAATACAAAGATCCAATCAACATAACAAGCATACCGAGACATCCCCACAATCTGTGAGCGAACGGGCCAATGTCTCCACCATTGGCAGCTCCTCGTTGGGGTGCTCAAGTGTCACGTCTGCTGCATCGCGATGAGTATGGAGCCCTAATAGGAGATGTCTCACTGCACCGACCTTGCAGACGTGCTGCAGCGGATTGTTGCATGGATTTCTGCCAATTCAATGCAAAAGCCGGAACGGCAAGCGAAAAACGAAGTGAATGTCACGTGGACTTGTTTCAGTCCTCATTCCCGGCCAAAAAAAATCCGCAAGAAATTCACTTTGAAATCCGGAACGACATTATCCAGGAAACTCTGGGCCCATCATATTGTTTTCCGAACGAAATCCGCTCTGCGATGTTGGCGCGGTGAAAAGTCCAACCGACCAAGCAAGCAAATCGCCTGAGACATCTCCGCAACCTGGGTGCGACCCGATAACTGTCCCCACAACTGGCCATTCCTCTGTGGGGTACTCAAACGACATGCCCGCCACGTCGCGACGAGCATTGGGCACTGGCAGGAGATGAGCCCAAATAACCAAACAGGCAAGCCGCCTGAGACATCCCCACAATCTGTGCCCGAATGGGCACATGTCCCTACCTCTGGCAGCGCCCCCTCGGGGTACTCAAATGCCATCCCTGCTGCATCGCGATGAGCATGGGGCTCGGACTGTATGAGTGATGTCTCCGTGTGTGTGTGTGTGTCTGGATACGGCCTGAGTGAGTCTGACTATGAGTCTGCGTGAGAGTGAGTCTGAGTATTAGTGAGTTTGAGTGTCAGTGAGTGTGAGTATGAGTGTGCCTGATCGTCAGTGAGCCTGAGTATGACTGATCTGCGTATGATGGGAGAGTGTACGCAAGCAGGGGCGAGTGAGGAAATGGAGGCGTACCACTAATAACATAACAAATCATTACTTATAACATGGGGGGTAGTGCTAAAGCGTTGACGTCTGCATGACGGAGCAATCGTCCACTTGTTGACCAACGGCTTAGAAATTTGTGCTTGACATCTTGCATCACCTACCTTGCGAGAACAACTGGAACATGGCGGACTGCTACTCTGAAGCGTCACAAACAACTGTTGAGGCAACTGCAAGCTCGAAAGCCCCAGCGTACTCGAAAACTGCACTGAGTTCCAGCCGCTTGAGAGGGGGTCGCGCTCACACTGGAGTGGAACAGGAACTGGAAGAGGAGAAGCAGCAACAGGAAGAGGGGCAGGAGGAGGCAAAGAGAGAGGAGCCGGAGGTGCCAACACGTGACGAGAGCCCGACACGCTCCTCCAGCTCCTCCCGCTGCTGACCCCCATCCTCATCCCCCCCCCCACGCGTCATGATGCTCCGCCCACTCCTCAGCTCCTCACGGCACCCTGAGGGAGGGGGGGGGAAGGGGGAGGAAGGAGGGGGGAGGGAGGAGGAGGGGAGGGAGGAGGGAGCTGAGAGCCCGCGGGGAGGGAGGAGGGAGGGGAGGGAGGAGGAGGGGAGGGAGGAGGGAGGAGGAGGGGAGGGAGACAAAGGCAAGCCGAGGGAGGAGGGGGGAGGGAGGAGGGAGCCGAGAGCCCGCGGGTCCGGAGGTCACATCGGGCGCCGCGGCCGCTACAGGGCGCCCTGGAACGCTCGGACAGCGTTCCAGACCGCTCTGGAGCGACTTGGCTTCGCCCCAGGCCTGCCTGAATCGGGGGCGCGCGATTAGCGATCCATGGATTTGGCGCGCGGTCGCCAAATCCATGGATCGGGGGAGGTACCCTCCCCAAAATGCGGCCAGTGCCGCCTCGTTCGGTTTCCCATGGAAACGGGACCCGTCGCTAATCCACGCCCCCTTGATCCATGTTTGCGATCGCCAGACTGAAGGAACCATCACCAGCTCGTGTGTCTCTCCAGATTGCCAGCGCGCAAGCGGTCCTCCTCGTCGAAGCCACCGCCACCCTTGCCGAACCCCTTGACAAAGGGCACGAAAGGCTGCCCAGGCCGCACCTGCGCCCGCGAGGGTGGCAAGAGCGGAGGCGAGCGCATGGGATGACGAGGGCAGAACGTTTTGACTGGAAGGGTGGGAGTCCGCGGCGCAGGGTCTTGCACCCCTCGGAAGGAAAACTGCACAAGCATAAGCACAATATTTGGCGCTGGACCCCCGTTGGCGGCGCATGGGAAGGCTTCTTGGAAGCCTTCTGCGAGGGCGTGTTAGAAGCTGGGACGGCTTCCAAGACGCCCCCTGCTCTCTTGGAAGCCCCGTCGCACGCTTAGAAGGCCACCCCCCTCGCGCCACCACCCTGTGCGTGCCGCCAACTCAGATGATGAAATCCGTCTCATTTCTTTACCATACTTGAGTTGTTGTAGCCGCCCTTGAGTTTTGATGTTGCACTTGAGTTTTCTGTAGCACACCTGACTTTTGCTATTACGCCTGAGATTGTCATCACACTATCACGCTTGAGCGCGGACCCACCACCACTCTGATCCGTAATTGCGAAGGTCTTGCACTCCTGCCGCGGGAGGAAAATCTCGTCGCCAACGGCCTCGCTGCCACATGTTCGTGTCGTGACGACCTCCGCGTTGGGTTCTGACACCTCGCGGACCCTTCGATCGGGGAGGAGGGGGAGGAGGAGCGGGAGCGGAAGGGGGAGGGGGAGGGGGAGGGGGAGGGGGCGGGGAAGGAGGAGGAGGAGGAGGAGGAGGAGGAGGAGGGCCACCTTGAACGATCGTGGCATTCTGATGGCGCCGGCCGTTCGTTGACGGCCGATTCCGGGCCACTGGCGGCGCTCGACCTTGGACGCCCGCGCTGGGGTCTCCGCCGCGTCCACATGACGCGAACCAGCCGTACAGCAGGAGCCCGACCACAAGAAACCTCCCACAGGAAACCCAACCCTGAGACCCCAGGACGTCCATAAGTTTTTGGCGTGGGAACGTCGCGCTCTCCATCGCAAAACCATCGAAACCCAAGAAACCCAGGGCACCCTGGAGCCAGGGTGTTTCTTGGCATGGGCCCCCACTGTACTTCTGTCGCCCCGCCCTGCGCCCTCGCGACCAGGGCTGGACCTAAACGTTGTTTCTCGTTCTGTTTTTCGTTTTGCTCTACCTGTTTTCCTGCACCTCCCCGCCAAAAGCGAACAAAAACAGAACGCAGCCGAAGTCCAGCAGAACAGCGTTTAGGTCCGGCCCTGCTCGCGACCTGCCTTCTGCTCAGCCTCCCTCCTGCGGACCAAGCCGCTTCGTGCCTCGACCCGCCAGAGATCCCCCGGGGCGCGCCCGGCCGTTCCGCAGGGGGGCCCCGCGAGGGACACGGGGCGCACAACGTTTCCTGGGGGGTGGCAGAACCCCCTTTAGTATAACGTGGTTTAGTGGAAACGACCTCGGGCCCAAACCTCGCGGGCGCAAGCCTGGAAAATGACGGCCGCGGCGCCCTCTCGAGGACCGAAAGTGGGCAATTCACGAATCGACGTGTCAGGGTGGGGGTTCTGTCCACCCCGACAGCAATATATATGTATATATATACATATATATATATATATATTGCAAGAGGAAACTGGAAACACAACTGGCTGGATCAGAATCCACACGCGGACCATCAGGGGGCCATGCGCTGGACACACACACACACGCGACGGCCCGGCCTGTGCGGCCGTAGGAAGGCCCGACTGCTCAGCCACCGTGCTCGGATGGCTGGAAGCACGATGTTCACGAAGAAGAGGCAATTCTGATCGACTCTCCAGCATTTGGGGCACAGAGCTAGGAACAAGAAAGTCGGCACCACCAGCACCATCGCGAGGAGGCAGGGAGGGTCCTCCAACCTCCAGCTCGGGAAGGCATCGTGCACCCCCCGCTGGAGATGGCCCGCTGGTGGTGGCGGCGGTGGTGGTGTCACGTGTCCTTCCTCCGAGATCAGAGGCCGATCGGGGGGGCCCACCAGACAGTGCACGGCGGCCAAGTCTCTTGGGCGGCAACACACATCCGTATACACAGCCTCGCGGCCCAGACTCCTCGGCCGCGACCCCGAGGAGACGGGGCGGTCTTGCGCGAAAGCCCCGCGCGGAACGTGTCCATGGGATCGCATATCCATGGGATCGCGCCTCGGCATCCAGACCGCAGGGGCATGAGCATGTCGGGGGAGGGCTGGTTGAGGCATCAACGGCCTCCCCACACGAAATTGGTCCCCAGGCCCCTCCTGAGGGTCCATCCCGACAAGCTCTTAAGCGGACTCATCCGTGGCGACGAGACTGCTACAGGAGCCACAAAGGAGGACGAACAACGCCAAATATTGACACGCACGAACTGGGTGCGGAGAGAATGGGTATAATGCCCAGCAGCAAATGTTGTCCAAGACCGACAGCGGTCGCCTTTGGGCAAGCGATTGCTCGTATCGAGTGGAGAATGTCCGCGGCGACGCTGGGTCCTGCTCAGAATGGGCAGGAGCTGCTGTCGGTTTCGTCCCCGCTCTTCCCGTACCCACTGACGAGGAGGAGGAGGAGGAGGAGGAGGAGGAGGAGGAGGAGGAGGAGGAGGGCCGGCAGGCGTTGGGGTCTGGAGGCCCCCCCGAGGCCACGCCGAGCGCGGCCGCACTCCCCATGCTGTAATCGCCTTCCCCCACATGCATTCCGATTCTCTTCAGGCCCGCGATGCCCCTGCCAGGACCATCGCCTACACCTGCGACTCCGCCTACATACGTAGCTGATTTCCTGGCCTACCTCGATTTCCTCGCCGACTTCGCCTACCACGACTTCCTCATTACAGAGGGCACGCCAGCGCAGCCCTGCCTGGCACCGACAGCTACGACGGGATCGCGCCGACGCACGCGTAAGACTGCGACTGGACCGAGCACGACAACTACTCGAAGTCAACCACAGCGCCTAACAACCATCTAGACCACCCGCCACCACCATAATTAGCGCCCAAGATGGCTCAGACGCCCGTTGGCAGCTACCACGATCGCCAATGGAACCAGCAGCAACACCAGCATCGACACCAGCAACACCAAGATGGGACTTCCGGAGCCCCTTGGAGACAAAGGCGCGCCCGCAGCCATGACAACACCCGCGGCACCGGCAGCAGCAGCTCCATGGGACAACGACATCAGCAGCAGCAAGCACAAAAGCAACACCAGCACAGCCTCAACGTTCAACGCGGACAGGAGAAGGGGAGAGAGACTGCTGCCAACATCGCCTCCATGACGCTTACCGAAGCCAGGAGACAACAGTACAAGAATGAGCCACCATCAATGCACCGCATCGACCGTGCCAAGGAGTAACGCAATAACTGCAAGGCTGACATCGGCTATCATCGGCTACCTCATCACCACCATCCGGAGGCATGCAAACGACGACTACGACTTCCACGGCATCGTCACAAATATCCGACTGCAAAAGTCGTTGCTGCTCTACGCACACGACGCAAAGGATCAACGGCGAGAAATTGAAAGCATGATCAACGATACTGTCAATGAAATGGACGACACACAACAACAGCTGGAGGAACTACAACAGAAAGCCACGTTACTTGGACATCGACATCGCCAGCTTCGAAGACTCCACGACAGCATCAGGGGGGCCGACTCGGACGACGACGCCGACGCCGAATCGGCAACCACACCCAAGAGGCGCACAAGGCAACCACGATCCGACACCCCCGCACCCAACCCCGGGAGACGGCATCGGGGACACATTGGAGATACGTCACCTGCGCCATCAGCGGCGCAAATACCCACGGATACCTCAACAGCCAACAAGCTGCGACAAGAGCTCCAAGAAGCACAGCAGAAGGCTGAAGCACAACGCAGCCGCGTCGTATTACAGAAAGACGTCGAGGAAAGTCCCTTCCCTTCCCTTCCCGCTGGGGAGGGGGGGTACCGGGGAAGTCCCGGGTCAGATACGCTTCCCCGCGGTTCCACCCAATTCCAGAAAGACGTCGAGGGAAGTCCCTTCCCTCCCCTTCCCGCCGGGGAGGGGGGGGGGGGTACTGCGGAAGTCCCGGGTCAAATACGCTTCCCCGCGGTTCCACCACATTCCAGAAAGACGTCCAGGGGAGTCCCTTCCCTCCCCTTCCCGCCGGGGAGGGGCGGGGATACCGGGGAAGTCCCGGGTCAGATACGCTTCCCCGCGGTTCCACCCAATTCCAAAAAGACGTCGAGGGAAGTCCCTTCCCTTCCCTTCCCGCCGGGGAGGGGGGGTGGTACCGGGGAAGTCCCGGGTCAAATACTCTTCCCTGCGGTTCCACCCAATTCCAGAAAGACGTCGAGGGAAGTCCCTTCCCTCCCCTTCCCGCCAGGGAGGGGGGGTGGGGGTACCCCGCCCAGAGATCCAAAATTTCAGAAATTCCGAAACAGTTCCAGATTTTCTTATTTTGAACTTAATAATGGAACTGCGTTTCTTTTTTGTTGGGGGGGGCGAATAATGCATTAAACATCGCAGAAGCGCTTTTTGTCACAGGTACGTTTTCATTGTGCTACCATTAAAGTTTACCATGGCGAAGTTGCGCCAGCATCGATGTTGAGCGTTGTCGCGCAAGATTTGAGTATCTTTGTAATTGCGTTTCTCGTGGAGCGTATATACCGTGCAAAACAACGCAATTTTCCTCGACACCCTATTCATCGAGAGTCCAACGGTCGAACTCCATCATGTTCCTGCGCGTGTCGTGTGATACCTCCTGCGCGTGGTGATGTTTTCATGTGGGGGAGGAGCTAGCACCGTTGTCCTCACCACTCGTCGACGGTCTGCTTCGGCGGCACTGGCCACCAGGCTTTCACAGTATTTGAAGTTCAAGGCCAGAGGCTCGAGACAACTTGCTGGCTTGTTCTGCCTTCCAGAGGGCTAGCGGGTGGGGAGGATGAGGAGGACGAAAAGAAGAAGGAAGAGAGGAAGATGAGGAGGCTCTTCCTCCCCCCCACCCTCCTCCTCCTCCTCCTCCTCCTCCTCCTCCTCGTCCTCGTCGTCTTCCTCCTCCTCCTCCTCCTCATTCTCCTCCTCCTCCTCCTCCTCCTCCTCCTCCTCCTCCTCCTCCTCCTCCTCCTCTCTCATCATCCTCCTCCGCCTCTTACACCCCCTCGCCCTGCCTCCCTCCCCCCGCCCACCTCATCATTCCGTCAATCTCCCTTTCCCTCCACCATCCCTGCCCTCACCGTCCCTCTTCCCCTCCCCCCCGCAGTTTCCCTTCATCCTCGTCCTCCTTATCTTCCTCCTCCGCCCCCTCATGCGCCCCCCCATCATCCTCCCGCTCCTCCTCATCCTCCCCCTTTTACCCCTCCAAGCACCGATTTCTAGAAGCTGACACGGTGACCATACGCGCCGATGTGTGGGGCATCTTTGGGGCGCAGCGGTGGCTCCTTCTTCTTCTTCTTCTTTCGCACCCGTTCGCAGCGTCTCGCTCGGGTGAACATGTCGCCTGCTCAGAGAATCGCCGGGGCAAGCTCATAACATGTCGTTACCCATGCCGTCTTGCAGCACTCCGTCCAAAAGCACCAAGCCTACAATCAGGGCCCCGATCTCCGCCTGACATGCGCTCGGTACGTCTAGTGGTACGGAGACGTCGCATAGCCTCTCATACTTCGACCCGCCACGGAAGACTGCGCACAGCACCGCTCCGGCGCAGGCCCGTCCGTCTTCCAGATGACTGCCGTCAAAGTTCAGCTTGATCATGTCAAAGGGGCCATGAAGCTGTCTGTGGCTGTGCCATTGTAAGGAATAAGCATGCCGGTTCGCCACGCTGTCGGCCTCGGAATTGTACTCGCGATACACGTGCAAGCCGAAGTCGTGCCAAGGTGCGGGCGGCGCACACACCCAGCTGCCGACCCATCTCTCCAGCAACGACCACGCCGAGTGGAAAACATGCTTGTAGAGATGGCGATTGAAACCGAACTGTCCGTTCAGCCAGCCGCATACCAGCTGCGAGTCCCCCAAGACGATGCACTTCGGTGGCCCAGAGCGGTCACTTGAGCTTGGATCCATTTCCGGCGGCATCTCGGGGGCAGGTGCTACTCTGACGCGCTTCGTAGGCGGCACCCCCTCCTGCGATTTGCTGCTCGCGCGTGCTTGCCACTGCTTCTCCACGACCGGCATCCCAAAGTCTACGAATACAGAGTTCCGGAAAGCATCGGACTTTGAGATCCAATCTTTGTCCGCGGCTGAAGCTTGCCAGGTGTCACCAACATGTTTGTCCAAGATGTCTTCCCACCGCGTGCGCGGATGCCCCTTCTTTCTCTGGTGCGTGCCTGTTGTCCGCATGCGCTTGGGGCCTCTAGGGCAGTAGCATTGCATAGCGCGCCACCATAGGGCAGAACGCCAATGCATTATGCGAGGGAGTAGCTGCAGAGTCGTACGCCTCGACCTTGCATGTTGCATCTCTGACGCCATGGCATACACCTTGCGCAATACAGCTGTCGCCGCCGTGTCCGTAGTAACACGTAGTAGCGCCTGCGCGGCAACTTTCGCGCTCCGCTGGGTGTGCGCGACGAAGGTTTCGTTGGGGCGGCGACGATTGCCAAGCATGTGGCGGAGCAGCGCGTTCTCCCAGGTTTTCGCACGTTGGAGGTGGCTCTTCAAGCACGTCCAGCAGCCAGAAGAAAACAGAGCCACAACGCGGACCTTGCTCACGTACTCCCGCAGGCGGTAGCTCAAGGGCAGGCGACGGTTGAGCAAGATGGGAGCATGATGCCAAAATGCACGGGTGCCCTTCTGCAACCGGTGCTCCACAAATCCATCGGCCCGTACATCCCAGCTGACAATGCCCCCAAGCATCTCAAAGCTTTGCACGGCTGGTATGTTGAGTTCCTCGGTGCCCTGCTGGATTGGGAAGACCTCAACGTCGTGGGCGCCAGTGCTCGCCATGTGCTGTACACTATTGCCCTTCCACTTGAGACCGTAGTCGTTTAAGGCGCTCGTGAACTCCTGCACCACAACATGCAGCTCTGCAATATCAGATGCCAGGAGGTAGATGTTATCAGACCATAAAATATGCGTGGTGCAGGGCCCCGTGTCTAGGTGTACTCCGAACCCCCTGGCCTGCCAACTGTCGACAAGACCGCATAGCACCCGGCGCATCACCAGATTCCATAGGTATGGCGCGTCGGTGCCCCCCTGCTTGATCGACTTGTTGTACGCGAACGTCTGCTCGTGAGTCCTGCCCTCAAGGATGGGCCAAGCATCCATTGTTTGCAGCTCCTGCAACAGTGCGGCCACTATGGCCGGGCGTACCCCACAAAACTCAAGGCAATGCTCCACTGCTCTGATTGTCAAGTTGTCGAATGCTGACAGAATATCTCCGGCGAAGATGTGGATTTCACCAGCGTCCCCGTAGTCCGCTGCTTTTTGCAGCAGGCACGTCAGAGATAACAGCACTTGTTCCACTCGATGCTCCTTCTCGTAAGCGAATGTCATAACGGAGGTCCAGGGAGCGCTGCAGCTAGTCGAAATGTCCCGGCGTAGGAGTTCCGAAAGCCCATTCATGTACCATTTCGCACAAGTGCTAATCATACATATGTCGCGAAATTTCGAAAGGGCAGTGACGCCCGCAGCTTTCGGCAGCAGCACCATGACTAGAGTGCGCCACGACGGCCGGTCCTCAATACGCCTCACAAAATACCGCTCCACAAAACAAGAATGCACCATCGAGACGACCATGAAAGGCAAACACAACAACATCTCTGCTACCAGCGACTCTCCCCCGCCTGGAGCTTTACCTTTTATCAAAGACGAACGTGCCGTGATAGTGTCCCCCAGAGTCCGTGTTGGCGGTGGGTCTCCGTGTAGATGTCTGTCCAACTGGCGTGACCTCCATCTGTTGATCCTCCCCTGTTGCCTGGCTTGTGTTTCCTCCGGGTCAGTGTGCTTCTCCTCGCAATGGCGCATGACCTCATGCATCCAGCAGTTTCGATCGGAAGTCTCATGCCCAGCGCACTCCAATACCTGCAAGGGCCGCTTGGTGTTTCCGGAGTCGTAGCTTTCCATGCAGATAACTGCTCGTAGCCGTGCGCGTTGGGATTTGATCGACCTCTCCTGCTTGCGGAGCCGCCTCCTTTCCTCTGGGTCGGTGGTGGTCCGGATCGCTTCGAGGAGGTCGTTGAGGACCTGTGGCCTCTGTGTAGCAGTCCTCCGACGAGTTTTCGCCGTCGACTGCGGAATCGCGACAGCATGATGCTCGCAAGAGCATCTCACCATGTCCAAAGATGCGAGGCCGAATGACTCTCCAGATGCAGTGCCGTCCCGCCCTAAGTCAGACAGCGCCCCTTTCACGTACTGGAAATTGGCTGCTCCATGCGCAAGTCGCCACTGCCGCAACGAAGATTTGTGCCCCGCTCTGCGTCGTGGGGTGTAGTCCGGGAGCTCCATCTTGACGAAAACGGGATAGTGATCACTACGTAGCACCCTGCCTGGGCCGACCCAGCCAACAGTGTCGAGGTGCGAGCTGACGAACATGTAGTCGATCTGGGTGCCGTCCTTCCGTTGGCGTCTCCACGGTACTCTGGTCAACCACATCTGCGGATCTGGATCGTTTGGCCAGGTGTTGGCTGCGCGCAGAGAATGCCTATGAAGGAATCGGAACCATGTTTGCACTTTTCCTGCCAAGTCACTGCTTACATTCGCGGCCCTCCCATGCGCCTGAGGACCGCAGAAAGGAGCGACGATAGGTAGCTCAATTTTGATATCGCCCCCCACCACAATGGCCTTGTAGCCAACCTCCCCCGCTTTCTGCATCAGCTCGTTAAGATAGATGAAACAATCAAGGTACCCATGCAATTTATGTGAAGAATCAGGCATGTAGATGCTGACCCAAAGAACGTCATGGATTATGATGGCCACACTGTTCCCCCGAGTGCAGGACCACCTAACGGAACCTGACAGAGATGGCGAAATCAGAATGGCCGCTGGGCAGCTCGCGGTATGCACGAGCCTCCAGCCACGGACATGCACATCACAAGGCCATCCCCCGGCCTCCTGTAAACATGTGGGTTGTTTTTCTTCGGGTTTCCTTGGGTGCCCGTGAGGCCTCATGCGAACCCGCACCACGGGGGCGGCTGCTCACAGCGCGCTGGCCAGGATCTGGGAGGATCCCGAATAGCGATGCCAGTTGAATATGCATCTGCAATGGGTCGGGAAGGGTAAATAAGTGGCTGACGTGCCGAAGCTGAGATGTTGGCCGTCGACGGTCAGCACCTCCACTTCGTCATGCCCGAGTCCGTTTCATTCTACACCCGTTTCCCCCGACCAGCACTGTCGCCTGCCAGGACCCAGCTCGCTCACGGCCGTCTCCTTCCTCCTTAGACCTCCACCTCACCTTTCAGGCCGAGCGAAGGCGCAGTTACTGTTTGCAATACCGCCTGTTGCATCCCAGTCCGTTGCGCACCCACCTACCTACCTACCTACCTACCGCTGCGTTCCTCCCGGCTCCTCCTCATATACTCGAGCTTCGAGCCCTCCCATTCCTCCTTCTTCTTCCTCGCGTCACGGGCGACCAAACCACCAACAGGGCCTAGAGGTGAACCCCCCTCCCTCTCCTTCTCCCTCCCTCTCCCTCCCCATCCCCTTTCTTTGCCCCTTTCTTTGCCCCGTTCTTCCGCCCCTGCCTCTGGGGGCTTACCTTCTCGCCCTTGGGGTGGTTTGGCCCTCCGTCTGTGGTCTTTTATCTCAGGCGCCCCCCCCCTTCCCCCACCTGGTAACTAGAGATCGTGCTCGTGCTCTACCTTCTTCTCACCTTCTTCTCACCTTTTCCCCAATGCGCCCCCCCTCGTCACCCAGCCGAGGCGACGAGGGCAGGACAGGTGTGCATGGTTTCGGGATCACCTTCATCGACCATGAGTCAGTCCGTCAAGAGGGCCGGCCGTTGTCTCGACTGGCCCTCCCCCGAACATGAACGTGCCCTTCGCTCCCGCAGATGCGGAAAGGCGCAGGCCGGGCGGGGCGCGCCCCCTGCACGAAGCCGCCCACCGGCCGTGCCTGAAGGAGTTGGCGGCGCCCACCCCTGAGTATCGTTTGACCGATCCCCATCCCCAGCGGCGTGGCGTGGCCTGGGCCCCACTGGCCGATTTACCCCCATAGATGGGGATATAGGCCGGTGCCTTCGGGTTTCGAGGGGTGTATCCCCAACTGGGGTGGCAGTTTGGTGAGGGTCTCGAAGGGGATGGGGATAAGGATGGGGATCGGTTAACCGATACCGAACCCCTTCTAGGGCAGGTGGGCACGGAGGCAAGACGCAGGAAGCACGCCCGCAAATGGGCACCGACTGGGGTGCTGCGGGTGCGGCGCCAGAGCGCCCGTGCACCAGGAGAAAAAAAGAAACGATCAGAAATCCTACTCGCTCGCGTTCCAAAACTCGTGGACACGGAGGCGTTTCCCGATACTCTCTCTCTGACGTCCAAGGTATTTCCAGAAACTCCGCACTTTCGCGGAGGAGTTTCCCGAAATTCGGCGCGACTCCGCGGGCGAACTTCTGGGAACTCCTCCACGGCGATCGAAAAATTGGTTTGAGCGCGCCGTGGAGGAGTTTCCCGAAAACAGGCTTCAGGCAAGCGCCTCCGTGCGCCCCCCCCCCTTCGAGGAGGCCCAACGGGAAGGCAGGAGGCGGGAGGACGGGAGACGACCTGCCGCGGCCTCGAAGCGCAGGAGCTAGCGAGTGTGCGCTCTGCGGCGCGACGGGACTCAAGGTGACTACCTACCAGACCACCCCGAGCCAACCCGAAGACCCGAGTTTCGGGTTGGGGGGGAAAGGGTTCCACATGTGTTTTGTCGACGTTTCCCGACCCCCCCCCACTGGAAATCGATGGTAAACTTGAGCCCTCGGGTTGGGTTGGGGTGGTTTGGTGGGTGGTGAGGCCAGGAACTCGTGCTCGGCGCGCTGCGGCGGCGGCCCCGGCGACACGCCGTGCCGTGCGAGCGGGTCGCGTGCCGCCGCGCTCCGCGGGGCGGGAGGCCGGGACATGCTCGGGGCGCTGACGCCTGGGGACCGGGGCACGGTCTTCGCGTCTCGTGGCGAACGAACAACGTAGGGCGACGAAATCTATACATATCCACTGCTCCCTGGCCAGGCCCATCCTCAACCCGGCAGCGGTGTATACGCCACGCCCTCCTGGCTTGGCCAGGAGGGCGCATACACAGCTCCTGGGTTCAGGATGGGCCTGGCCAGGGAGCAGTGGATACGTATAGATTTCGTCGCCCGACAACGCACACCCATACCCATAGGAGCGGTCGTTGGGATAAGGACTCGCTATGGGTATGGGTGCGGGTTGTCGGACCCCGGGGAACGCTCCCGTTCGAGCGGGGACCCCCATCCGACAGCACGTACCCATAGCCCTCTCCGACCCCCCTATGGGTATGGGTGTGTGTTGTTGGTTCGTCATGTCGCGCCGGTGGGCCAGAACCTGCGGCGCGGAGCGCTAAGCAAACACTCCTGACCGTAAGTCTGGCCTTGATGCAGTCGGGTCGGTATGGCAACTGTTAGTGGACAGAGGAGGCCAGAGGGGAGGGGAGGGGAAGGGAAGGGAAGGAGAAGGACCGGTGGAAGTTTAGGGGAGGGAAGGAAGAAAGGACGGAGGGAGGAAATGTGGAAGGAATGATGGAGAGACCGATGTCTGCGCCCCTCTATTGCCAGCGCAGCCATGACCACGTACACCGTCTGGTTTTCTCCTGCAACCTAATGCTCGCTCTCGTCACGAGAAGCTTCTCGCCCCTCCTTCCGTCACACTCTACTCCAGGGTTCTGCAACCACCATGCTAAACCAACCAGCTGAGGAGGAGAAGGACGAGGAGGAGGGAGGAGGAGGAGAAGGAGAAGGATTCGCTGGCGTCCGCAGCGCTCCTTGCCAGCAGTTAGCTCGTTCAGGTGCTGCTGGAGCACTCAGTCTCCTCTTGTTCTCCCTTGTCTGTCATCAGCATCGTCATCATCACCACCACCACCACCACCATCATCATCATCATCAGCATCAGCACCAGCAGCAGCAGCAGCATCAACATCATCATACGCATCACCATTACCATGTATTCATCATCGTTGCTCGGTTGATCTAAATTGTCGGAGCTCCAGCAATGCATATGCGCGGTAGGCAGCCTCACCTCCTCATCACACTCAGATGGTGTTTTCTGTTTTTCCTCACCTTGCACGGTGGCTGGCGCCGCCGCTTCCGCCGTGTTACCCCTCTCCATCCATCTGTGCGTGGGCGCCGTCGCCCGCTGCATGCTGCCCACCCTGTTCCTCTTCCTGCTCGTGGTCTGGGGGTGCTGTCGCCTTGTCTTTTTGTCCCTTGGTCAACGCTGCCTCTCCCATCGCTTGACTGTGCTGTGGCAGGGGTGTCTGCTCCTCTTCCTGCCTGAGATCTGAAAGTGTTGTCGCCGTGTGTTCTCCATCGATCATCGCTGTCTCTCCCATCGCTTGTCTGTGCTGTGGCAGGGGTGTCTGCTCCTCTTCCTGTCTGTGATCTTGAGGTGCTGCCGCCTTGTCATTTTCCCTGAGTCATCGCTGCCTTTCCCATCGCTTGACTGTGCTGCGGGAGCGGTGTCTGCTCCTCTTCCTGCTCGTGGTCTGGGGGTGCTGTCGCCTTGTCTGTTTTTCCTCGGTCAACGCTGCCTCTCCCATCGCTTGCCTGTGCTGTGGGAGGGGTGTCTGCTCCTCTTCCTGCCTGAGGTCTGAAAGTGTTGTCGCCTTGTCTTTTCTTGGATGATCGCTGCCTCTCCCATCGCTTGACTGTGCTGTGGGAGGGGTGACTGCTCCTTTTCCCGCCTGTGCTCTGGAGGTGCTGTCGCCTTGTCATTGTCCCTCGATCATCGCTGCCTCTCCCATCCTTTGCTTGTGCTGTGGGAGGGGTGTCTGCTCCTCTTCCTGCCTGAGGTCTGGAAGTGTTGTCGCCTTGTCTTTCTTGGATGATCGCTGCCTCTCCCATCGCTTGACTGTGCTGTGGGAGGGGTGACTGCTCCTCTTCCCGCCTGCGCTCTGGAGGTGCTGTCGCCTTGTCAGTTTGTCCCTCGATCATCGCTGCCTCTCCCATCCTTTGCTTGCGCTGTGGGAGGGGTGTCTGCTCCTCTTCCTGCTCGTTGCCTGGAGGTGTTGTCGCCTTTGTCATTTCCCTCGATCATCACTGCCTCCCCATCGCTTGCCTGTGCTGTGGGAGGAGTGTCTGCTCCACTTCCTGCCTGTGCTCTGGAGGTGCTGTCGTCCTGTAGCTGTGCCATTGATCATCGCTGCCTCTCTCATCGCTTGCCTGTACTGTGGGAGGGGTGTCTGCTCCTCTTCCTGCTCGTGATCTGGAGGTGTTGTCGCCTTGTCTTTTTTCTCATCGTCCAACGTGATGGAACGCAGGGATCAGACGAGCTAGGGCCCGAGGAGGCCCGCCAGAGGCTATGGAGCAGTAGGAGGGCGAACGCGTCAGGTATTGCTCGCTATGTCATCTCATCGAGTTGAAGCATGACTGAAATCACATGTGAAGCATGAGTTGGCATCAGAAGCATGTTTGAGGTCACATGTGAAGCATGACTTGGAGTATGATTGACATCTCATTTGAAGCCTTGTTGAAATCATAATTGCGACACGGTGTACTTCATGTGTGGGGCATGCTTCAATGTTGTTGCGCGCGGTCGTGTGTGTGTGTGTGTGTGCATGTGTTGTGTGATGTTTCACGCTTGTCTTGCCATCGAACTGTTGTACAAAGTGCACGAGCGCTTCGCAAGCGGACGGTTCAAGAGAACCCACACCAACGAGACGGTCCATGACTGGGTCTTCAAGTGGCAGCCAGGACAGGCGCAGCAGGCCCCGGCGCAGCCGCTCGCGGCGCCGCAGCTCCCTTTCGCGCATGAGGCACCGCCGCAAGAGCGCTCATGCCTTGACCCGCCCCGGGCAGCTGGCGAGGACGCCGGGTGCTCCCCGGGAGTGCTGCGGCCGCAGTGGCCGCGGCTGCCCGCTCACCGAGTGGCCGAGAGAGGGGCTTGCAATTTCCTGGCCAGGACTTGCCCCCCTGGGTCGGAGAAGCTCCAGAGGAAGACCGTGGAGGCTCTCAGAGGCACCTGCGTGGCCGCGGGCAGGCAAACTGAAGTTGCCCCTCAGGAGCTGCTCGTCGAGTTGCTGCCCCCAGCTTCAAAAGGGGCTGAGCCGACGCTCTGCCTCCACGCACGGCAGGCGGCAACCAGGGCAGCGCAGCCAGGGAAAGACGCTGCGGTAAGGCAGGTTGCGCGCCACGGAAAGCGTGCGCCAGACCAAATCCACCGGCCGCGAGCCTTCGTCGAGCCCCTCCACGTCCCCGGAGAAGGACTTCGACGCGCACGAGTGCCTGCGCGCGTACGGCCTGGGGGTCCAGAGGCGGCCATACCTGCAGCTTCAAGGTGTTCCGTGCGCTAGCGGCGTCGGCGCGCAAGGCCAGGCGCCGCAGCAAGCCCCAGGAGTTCGTAGTCCCCGGCGCCCTTGCCAAGCGGATGTTGTAGCAGAACTTGTAGCTCTGGCACTGAGGGACTGCACCGTCGATCAACGAACCTGCAGCTGCTCTGAGCAGCTCGTAGTGGTTCACGAAGACGCGGCTCAGCACGAAGACGCGGCTCAGCAGCTTCCTGGTGAATTGGTGAATCCCCGAATCCAGATCTGGCAGCGGCCTCCAACTTCACCACCGTCTCGAGGCGGAGGATGACTACGAAGCTCAGGTCCAGCACGGGCGGGTGGCACAGGGTGTGCCGCACTCGATGGTCCCGTCGGGGTACGCCTGGGCCTCTTGCACCCGGTGGGGCCCAGGAAGCGGCTCCAGGGGTCTGGGCCATCGACCTCCACGCCGACGGCACTGTCAGCGGAGGAAGCAGACCCTGCAGTGGAGGCGATCGCCTTCATGAGCGTGCTCTCCACGGTGATCGGCTCAGCGTCCAGCTAGCCAGCGGTGGCCAGCTGAGACGGGATGGGCGGCAGCTCTTGGGACAGGTTGTCCTCGTCGAGCGGCTTCGCATTGGCGGTACTCCAGCACAAGAGGCGCGCCTCTCCGACCGATGCATTCATCTTCTGTCGCTCCAGGCGAAGCTCGGCGATCTGGACGTCAAACTTCTCGTCCAGCTCGTGGATCTTGCCGACGGTGGACTGGAGATCAGCACGTAGAGGAGCGGCTTGGAGGGAGATGACTCCGCCGATGGCCTGCAGGTCCTCGGGCGAGAGAGCAGCGCGCGCCATGGCGGGGAGGAACGAAGAGTCCGCTTGGGAACGACCCCAAGATGGCCCCTTCAAGAGAGGCTGCCCACCCAAGCGCCCCAGCACTTGAGCCAAAATGGCAACGGAGAAGGAGGGGGAAGGGGAGAAGGGGAGGAGGAGGAGGAGGAGGAGGAGGAGGAGGAGGAGGAGGAGGAGGAGGAGGAGGAGGTGAAGGAGGAGGAGGAGGAGGAGGAGGCGAGAGGCGGAGGAGGAGGGATGCGGTGAGGAGGAGGACGAGGAGGAGGAGGATGAAGAAAGAGGAGGAGGAGGAGGAAAGAGGAGGAGGACGAGGGAGGAGGGAGGGAAAAAGAGGAGGGAGGAGGGAGCGGGGAGGATTGGACAGGTCCTCCAGAGGGGGTCGGTGGCCTGCCAGGTACCAGCCCGCGCACAAAGTGACAATTCGGATGCTACCCTTCGACATGACAGCCGTTCGTGTCGAAATGCCACCGTCGACGCCAGAGCGGCTTGCTTGTATGATTTTCTCGAATCCCCTGCATACGAACAACCGGGGACGCTATAATACATACGTAGAGCATTGCATCACGAAGCGCACGCCGCACGCACTTCCCGAGCGCATCACCGAGCATCACCAGCAACAGCAGACCACAAGAGGATCAACACCACAGCGAGAGCATTCGTGTTGAAGCGAGCTGATCCCCGTGCGGCCCGAGCGCAAGAGTGCGGCTGCAGAATCGGAGGAGTCCTCCTCCTCCTTCACCTCCTCCATCCCTTTTCCTCATAACTCCTCCTCCTCCTCCTACTTCTCCTCCTCCGCCTCCTTCTCCTCCTCCATCCCCTTTCCTCATGACTCCTCCTCCTCCTCCTCCTCCTCCTTCTCCTCTTCCTCCTCCTCCTCCTCCTCTTCCTCCTCCTCCTCCTCCTCCATCCCCTTTCCTCCTCCTCCTCCTCCTGCTCCTTCACCTCCTCTCCTCCTCCTCCCCTTTTCCTCACGACTCCTCCCTGTGGCACCCCCGGCGGCGGCCGCTGCGCCTGCGTGACCACCACTGGCCGGGGCCCCTCGGGGGGCAGCGCGCGGGTCGATCCGCCGTCCCCCCTTGCTCTGCTCCGCGATCCGGCACCCTCCTCCTCCCATCCCTCCTCCTCCTCCTCCTCCTCCTCCTCCTCCTCCCTCCTCCTCCTCCTCCTCCTCCTCCATCCCCATCCCTCCCCCTCCTCCTCTTCCTCCTCCTCCTCATCCTCCTCCCCCTCCTCCTCTTCCTCCTCCTCCTCCCATCCCCATCCTTCCCCCTCCTCCTCTTCCTCCTCCTCCTCCTTCTCCCCCTCCTCCTCCTCCTCCTCCTCCTCCTCCTCCTCCTCCTCCTCCTCGTCTTCCTCATCTTCCTCCTCCTCCTCCTCCTCCAATCCCCCTCCCTCCCCTCCTCCTCCTCCTCCTCCTCCCTCCTCCTCCTCCTCCTCCCATCCCCATCCATCCCCCTCCTCCTCTTCCTCCTCCTCCTCCTCCTCCTCCCCCTCCTCCTCCTCCTCCTCCTCCTCCTCCTCCTGATCCTCCTCCTCCTCCCCCTCCTCCTCCTCCTCCCCTCCTCATCCCTTCTCCTCCTCCCATCCCTCCCCCTCCTCCTCCTCCTATTCCTCCTCCACCTCCTCCTCGTCCTCCTCCTCATCTGCCTCCGCCTCCTCCTGCTTCTCACCCGCAGCCGACGCGCAGTGAAACAGACAGACCATCACGACGTCGGGATGTCTGCGAAAGCGGCCGCAGTACTCTGGATGCCTGAAGTAGAAGGAAAAATCCACCCCCATAATTACCACTCCGACAAGCGAGGCCGTTCAGTAAACGCAGCCAAAGAAGGAATCGAACGGGGGAGGGCTGTTTAGTAAACGCCAGGGGCCGTTTAGGAAACGCGAATTATCGGGTCCAGGTGGTTTCCCCCCCCCCTGATGAAGGCACGTGCGACGGGACCCTGGCTGGATAAGATGCAGTGGAGGCCAGTCCACAAGAAACCTTCCACGAGAAACCCAACCCTGAGACCCCAGGACGCCCATCGATTTTTGGCGCGGGAGCGTCGCGCTTTCCACAGCAGAACCATCGAAACCATCGAAACCCAGGGCACCTTGGAGGCAAGCAGGGTGCTTCTTGGTATGGGCCCCCACTGTAGATCCAGACGTGGTTCTTGCCATCCTGCTGACTCCCGTGCGCCCGGCCACCGTTTCCAAAACCGCGCCGGGCTGCCACGACATCTGGAGCAACAAGGGCACAGCGGCACACATGTCTCAGGCTCTTCTCGGGTTCCTCAAAATCCCGGCGCGCGACCCATCTCTGAGAGTGGATTCTTCAAATATACGCAGGAAGCGCGGGTGCAGAGATGCGTTAGGCTTTGATCACACACTTGGGGTGCTATCTGTGCCGCGAAAAACTATTGTCACAGCCTGCTCAGTCTCTCAGTCTGCTCAGTCTGCGGTGGATGGGCCCCGAGACAATCGGTCGAGATGGGGGGACGAGGACGAATTCGCTCCAAAGCGGTCCCTGGGCCCCTCCAGGGGTCGAAACGGACAATGCTTTCGAGCCGCGTCCAGCCGTGGCGACGATGGGAGCCCCTCTCTCTCCTCCCGATTCTGCTGGCCATAACCAGTGCTGGGCCTCATCAGCCCCCCCGCAGGGGGAGGAGGAGGAGGAGGAGGAGGAGGAGGAGGAGGAGGAGGAGGAGGAGGAAGATAATGATTTGACCCCCCCCCTCTCGGACATCCCCCTCTTGGCCGCCCCCGAGCCCCCCCGAGCCCCTCTTGGCCGCCTCCAGTGCTCAGTATGCCTCAACTTCTCACAGGGTGGGTCCACGATGCAGGTCGGCAGGACCACCGTGGCTCTCCTCCTCGCTCCTCGCTCATCCTCATCGGTCGTCCCAGCCATCCTCCTCCAGGGAAGCGGCATCCACCTCCCTCCTCTTCTAGAACCTCCATCCTTCTCCACCTCACTCCTCCCTCCGCCCCGCCTTCCTCACTCCTCTTCCATCCACTACATCCCCCGCTCCCCCCCGCACTTCGTCGATACTCCCCCCTCCTCCCATGAATCACGCAAACCGTCGGTGGTGGATCTGTAAGTGCTCTGCCCGCGAAGCGGAAACAGGCCCTCTGTATGTAAGGCGGCCCGGCTGGTGCTACTACTCCCCGCGCGAAATACACTTCATCGTTGAACTGCGAGTCGGTGCCCAAGATGCCCAGAGTTCCCGACGGAGCCGCTGAGGACGATCGGGAGGAACTCTGGCCCCAGTCTGCGGCCCTCCCCCCTTCTGCCTCCTGAGCAAGCCGACAAGTAGAAGAGATCGGTAGCCCGAACCCGAAACCCGAAACCCTAAACCCTGAACCCTAAACCGATCGGTAGACCATTGAAGTCCACCCACCCTGAAAGAGGTAGGCAATGAACGAGGAGGAGGAGGAGGAGGAGGGAGGGAGGGAGGGAGGGAGGGAGGGAGGGGAGGGAGGGAGGAGGAGGGAGGAGGAGGAGGAGGAGGAGGAGGAGGAGGAGGAGATGGGCACCCTCTGCACCCGCAGCAGAACCGCTGGCTGGCCCCTCGGCTGCGCAGCTGCCCACGCTGCCGCGAGAGACCGCGCCATTGCAATGCCGACCTGCTGCGGGTACGCGATACGACCAAGCACAGGGGATCGGCGGCGAGCGTCCTCCTCCTCCTCCTCGTCCTCGTCCTCCTCCTCGTCCTCTTCCTCCTCCTCCTCCTCCTCCTCCTCCTCCTCGTCCTCCTCCTCGTCCTCCTGAGGGGGGAAATGAGGAGGAGACGGCCTCCTCGGAAGATTCGGAAGGGACGCGACCAGTTACGTTCTACAAAAAAGATCACCAGCCCGCGAACTCGGCAGGCATGGCTGGATGGACCCCTTCCCAGCGCAAGGCCCGTCCCGGCCCGCTCCTCTCGGCCGCGCCCGGCCGTGGCGGCGGGCACCCCGGAAAGCACCCGACAGCCCCCAGAACGACGACGCAGCCGCTGGAGGCCTCCTAGACAGGGTCCGAGCAGATGGGGTCGGAGGATCTCGCCACATCGGCGATGCATCGGCGATGCATCGGCGATGCATCGGCCAGGCACTGGCGACGTCGGCGATACATCCGCGACCTCGGCGTGGAGCAAATTGGGCCACACGTCGAGCCGCATCGCCGATGCACCGCCGATGCAGCGGCGATGCGGCGCGAGCCTCCGATCCCACCTGCTCCGACCCCATCTGGGAGGCCCGGGGCCGCCCCCCTGGCGGGTCGGGCGAAAGGGGGGGATAGCAAAGGGGGGGGGTGAGAATCAGCTCACGCAGCTGATCTTCCCAGCGCCTCCCGGCGCTGGAGGCGCCCACGTATCGAGGAATGGGCCCCTCGGTGGGGCCGAACCCGGCTGCATGCAGCAAACTTCGTGGCCCCCCCTTTCCCGATCCCCCCCTCTCGTCCGGCCCGACCCTGACATTCGACGTCGCGAACAAGTGCAACACCGTGGCAGCAAATCGCGGCCGGATCCCCAGACTCCCCGGCGCCGCTCGGGCGGGACGGACCAGCGGAGGACCACAGAGGCCCAAGGCCAGGGCGGAAGCGCCCGGTGCGAAGGGGCCGCGACGCCCTGACCTTGGTCAGAGACTCGTTCTGGGGGCCTTCCTGGAGCCACTCGCTCTACTCGTGCGTCGATGCTGCGTCGAACGCCCGTCGAACTCGAGTCGAGGACGAGTCAAGCTTGGGTCGAGCTGGAGTCGAGCTAGACTCGGACTGGAATCGAACTCGAGTCGAGAATATCTGTCAAGAGGGCTCCAGGAAGATTCGCAGAATGAACATCTAGTGTCTCAGCGCCCCTCTCGCGGGGACTCCACTGCCGGGTACTTTGGCCAATGACCCGGCGAACCCAACCCTCCCCGATGTGGGCAACGCTGCAAGGCCGGAAAAAGCGGCTGAAAAATTACAACTTCCGGCAATTTTCCAAATGGACCGTTGCCGAGTACCCGCTACGGTGCCGCGGAGTCTCTGGCGGAGGCGGAGGCGGAGGAGGAGGAGGATGAGGAGGAGGCGGAGGAGGAGGAGGAGGAGGAGGAGGAGGCGGAGGAGGAGGATGAGGAGGAGGAGGAGGAGGAGGTCGACGTCGTCGTCGCCCTCGTCGCGGCCGCACGGCGCGGAGGCGCCGCCACGGAGTACTGGCCCACGGGCCGCCCCTGCGGCACCTGCTGCGGCGGAGCGACGAGGGGGGGGGGGACTCCTCCTCCTCCTCCTCCTCCTCCTCCTCCTCCTCCTCCTCCTCCTCCTCCTCCTCCTCGGCGGGGGAGACATCGACGCATCGGCGCCGCATCGGCGCTGCACCGCCGATGTGGATCGGCGACGGGCCCCGAAGGGCAAGACCGCAGGTCCACGGGCGGCTTTGGGGGAGCCCCCGCCCTTGACCTCGGGCACGCCGCGCACGCTGCCGTGCACTCTATGGCTCCGTGAGCCTGGCGCGCTAATCTCGAGGCAGGTGCCGCCTCATCCGGTGACGGAGTGTGACGAATCCGTCTCGGCGATCGGCGAGGAACGAGAGACTCGGGGTCGGATGCCAAATCAGGGCCGGGCGCGGCGAGGAGAGCAGGGCGCGATCCACCCGCAAGGGCGGGTCTCGGAGGGAGAACGCCGACGGAGCGGCCGTGCCAAGGATCGGGCGCAGATCCTGCTCCTCTCTCCTCCTCTCTCCTCCTCTCTCCTCCTCTCTCCTCCTCCGCCCTCCTCTCTCATCTCTTCTCCCCCTCCTCGGATTCTCCTCCTTCTCCTCCTTCTCCTCATCTGTTCTCGGTTTCTCTCCCCCTCCTCCTCCTCCTCCTCCTCCTCCTCCTCCTCATCTCTGCTCTGTTTATCACCCTCCTCCTTCTCCTCATCTCTTCTCGGTTTCTTCTTCTTCTCCCCCTCCTCGGTTATTCCTCGTCTCTTCTCCTCCTCTCTCATCTCTCCTCCTTCGATGAGGAGGAGGAGAAGGAGGAGGAGGCCGAGGCCTCCTCCTCAGTTTCTCGGCTTCTCATTTGTGGCGCTGGCTGGCACGTCCCTGCCGGGGAGAGCGCAAGAGGGCCGCGACTGGCAACGGCACAAGGCGGAGCCTTGCATCCGCCGGCCGTTGCCTGGCGCTCAGCGACGCCCATCGCAGCGCAATGGAGGCAATCAGTCGACAAAAAGCGCTGAGTGGGCTTATGGTGGCGATTTTAGAAGAAGAAGAAGAAGAATAAGAAGAAGAAACAAACAGCATAAACACAAACTGCTTGCGCTCCGCGCGGATTTCTTGGATCTGCGCGGAGCGCGCCATGGGCGGCGCCGGAGGCGCTGTCTAGGGGGCCCCAGCGCGGATCCAAGAAATCCGCGCGGAGCGCCAACAGCTGATGTTTACGGCGTGTCTTCTTCTTCTTCGAGATAAGCTTACACCATGCTATCACCCAGAGACGCTTGCCCACGTTCAGTCCATCTGTACCCTGGCGGCTCCGCCACCAACCCCATCCCCGAGCTCGTCCCGCTTCGTCCTCGAGCTCGTCTTCGAGCTCGTCGCCGAGCTCGTCCCCGAGCTCATCCCCGAGCTCGTCCTCAAGCTCGTTCTCGAGCTCGTCCCCGAGCTCGTAACCTCGTTCCCGAGCTCGTCCCCCAGCTCGTCCTCGAGCTCCTCGTCCTCAAGCTCGTGCACGAACTCGTTCTCGAGCTCGTTCGCGAGCCCGTGCTCGGGCTTGCCCTCGAGCTAGTCCCCAAGCTCGCCCCCGAGCTCGTCCCCAAGCTCGTCCCCGAGCTCGTCCCCGAGATCGTTCCCGAGCTCGTCCACGGCAACTCGTCCTCGGCAGCTCGTCCCCGAGCTCGTCCACGTCCCCGAGCTCGTCCTCGAGCGCGTCCCTGGGATCGTCCCCGAGCATCTCCTCGAGCTCGTACTCGGCCTCGTCCAGGACCTCGTTCTCGAGCTCGTCCTCAAGCTTGTCGTCGAGCTCGTCCCCGGGCTCGTCCCCGATCTCGTCATCGAGCTGCTCCCCGAGCTGATCCCCCAAAAAGTCCCCGAACTCGCACTCGAGCTCGTCCCCGAGCTCGCCCCCGAGCTCATTCCCGAGCTCGTCCCCGAGCTCGTCCCCGAGCTCGTCCCCGGGCTCATCCCCGAGTTCGTCCTCGAGCTTTTCCTTCCTATCGCCCGTTCTGCGACTCGCTCCGAGCGGACCATTCCTCTGGCGCGAGCCTGCGTAGCAGTGGGAGTCTGATCCTATCGACGGCGCGCGCGCGGCGAATCGAAGACGAAGCCCAGGTCGTCGTCAAAGGAGAGCCCCACCGTACTGTCCCCGCGACACCTCAAAGCGAAACCATCAACTTTTTCCGAGCGGTTCGCTTTCGATTTCGCTTTCTTAACTATTAACTTTTTCGGGGAAGCTTCGCTTTCGCTTTCGCTTTCCTAACAATTAACTATTATTTTCTGCGCTTCGCTTTGACGTGTCGCGAGGACAGTAACCCAAACGCCGTCGGGGCCCATGGCCACCATGGTGCCAGGATTACCGGGGGCGGCCAAGAGGGGGGCGTCCAAGAGGGGGGGGGGGCGCAAATCGTGGCCGGAGGCATGTGTGCGGCCCAAGGGGGGGCCAGGGACGTAATGGAATAATTAAGAAACGGCGCTGTGAAATCTGAGGAAATCTCATGGCCCCCGCCATGATATCCACCCCCCCCTTGTCATCACCCCCCTCTTTGCCGCCCCCGAGGTTATCACAGTGGGATGGCCCTGTCCTCGACCGCGTGCTCGGGCACCTGCGTGCCGGCGCTTCCGTCGACAATCCATGGGTCGTCGTAGCAGCAGCGGCTGGGAACTGTCGGGGGGAGGAGCAGCAGGAATGTCAAGCTGAGCATCGCCAGATGCGCAGCGCTGCTCTGCAAAAATACCCCGCGACCGACCCAGGCGGCCCAGATCGAGCAGAAACGGCCAGAGCAGGAGGGAGGGAGACTGGAGAAGCAAGAGCCCTTGGGCGAATGCGCGCCTGCTACCTAATGAATCATGGGTTCGCAGCCAGAGCCCAGGATGTGGTCGCGGGAGGCCCCGCCACTACACGGGTCACGAATGAGCACGCGGCCTCAGGGATGCCGACATAGTCCTGGGCGTCCCCGCCCTCCACCGACATCTTGAGCAGCTGCGCGGTGGTATCGCGAAGAGTGCCGCCACATGAATCTGGAACGGAATCAACTCCAACGTCCGCGGGCATCCACCCCGCCATGCAGTGGGCAGCAGCTGGAGACACCCTCATCGGCAAGGGTCGCCGGGCGGGCTGATGACAGATGCCACCAGTGGCCGCGCAAAGACGCTCGCGGGCAGTCGGGCCCTTGCGCCGTTGGCCGGGCGAGGACACGGGTCAGTGCCAGGTTGGCACCATAAGCGTTTCCCACCCCGTCGCGCGAGTGGCGGCCGAGACCCGAAGCACTAGGCATGGGCCTGAGTGCGTAAAGGCCCTGCTTCCTCTTCATCCTTGCCCCCCGTCATCGTTTCCTCCCGCGGATGCTGCTGGATACCACACTTCCTCTCTGGGCCAAGCCAGCCACCGACCGACCGACCGTAAACCGAAAGGATGGGCTGGCACCTCCAGTGGGCCATGGGAGAGGAGAGAGAGGAAGGCGGGAGACAGGGGGAGAGGAAACGAAACGCAAAGAGGAGAACACGAAATGGACGAGGGGGCGAGCGTATGACACCCATGCCGCGCATGATCACATAACTAATGCTCATGCGGGTCTCGCAAGCGAAGGCGCAGGGCGACGCAACGCAATGTAAACCAACGCAGGGGCACAATATAACACAACAGTTCTGTGCAATGCGACGCCAGGTGCCCAGGGCGTCGTCGTGTGCGCCAGCTACACCGCTGGACAACGTGGGGTTGAACCCGGGTCCAGGAAACCGTCGTAGGTGCTTCCGCCGCACGGGCCACGAACGAGATCACGGCCTCTGGGATACCGACATAATCGCAAGCTCTCGTGTCCTCTAGTGAGAGCTTGAACAGCTGCGAGCCAGTGACTCAATCGAAAACGCTCGCGGCACAAGGAGCAGAAGCATGGCAACAAACGCTGTACAAAACACGAAGAACCTGTCCAAAGCAGAGACGCAGCAAACTACATCGAAGTTAAGCACAACTGTGCAACACCATAGCAAAACGAACCTAAGGGAAGCAACGCAACAGACACACGATTCGAAGAAAAGGCGAGTGAGGGCGAGGGCGAGCATCTAAATGCAACGCACAAAAAAAGCAAGGCACAAAAAGGATGTCGGACGGGCGACGCTCACAGGCTAGGCTGGCGCCAGTGGCGACGCAGGGACCGATCTGCCCGAGTGCGGTGGCAAGATCGGAGGCCAGCATGGGCCTCTGCGCGAAGCACCTCCGTGGGACAGGCACGCGGCAACCGAGCGTCGTCCATGGCCCGCGCCCCGCGGCCAAACGACGGCCCCTCTCTGGCGCCCCCACCCCTGCCAGGCCGCTGCAGCCTCCCTTGAGCCTCCCTGGCCCTCCTTAGCTCTCCTCTTTCGTCATCGTCTCTCTTGTCTCTCCCTCATCCTCCTCCTTCCCTCCTTCTCCTCCAGCCGCCGTCCCGGGTCAGGGGCTTTTGCCAGCACACAGGGTGCTGTTTTTGGCCCCCACCACTTCCCGGGACAGCTGCCATGCGCGTCGACCCGTCCTGGCCCGGATCCGAAGACGACCGCGCGCGACGAGACGTGGCGGGCCGGCGCCGTGGTGGCAGCCAGCCGAGGCTGCCCCTTCGCGCCTCCGTGCGAAGGCTCGGCTACGCGGCCCGAGTCGGCCGCCGTGTCCGGATGAGCGACGTGGCCGCGCTGGCGTTTGCTTGCGGTGGCCATGCCCGTCGGCGCATTCTTCCCAAACCCGCTCATCCTTGCGTACCTCATGATCGTGCTATGTTTCTTGCAAGTGCCGATGGGCTTGCTAGTGTTGCTGCTCCGAGACCGCGAGGCCTTCCGCCGGCGCGTGCTCCTCCGACATTTGTGGGGAGAAGCGTGCCATCGCCGCTGGCTACACCTTCGTCTGGCTCAATCCGCGCGGAGGCTGCGGAGGTTGAGGCGACAGTTTGGTATCGTGCATGGCCGACGCCATGCGTTCCTTCGCCTTCCTCGCCGACTTCTTCGTACATGCTGCCGCCGCGTGCACTGCCGCCACCACACGCACGCGATGTTCATGGGCCGCCTGCCGCTGCCAGCGCG